AATTTTTTTAAGCCAAAATTGTTCTAAAATAATTCTAAAAATAAAATACAATACAAACCCAAAAATCAATTAATCATATCATATTTAGCTAAGTGCTAAAAAGTATGCAGTGAAAAAAGGAAACTTTGTTTTTCAGAATGAATTCATCCGAATTCCGTACTAAAAATAAATTTTGGCATTATTTTAGACACCTTAAAAATTAATCTCATTTATTTAGAATTTCCTTTCACTTACTATTTCCGTAAACGTTTTTTCTTTCACTTTCCTTTCGTTTATTTTTCATGAATATTTTCTGAATTTAGTTTCTTTTGTTCTCAGTGCCCCTGCAGTTTGTGCACACAATTGTCTTGGCATTACGCACAAGTGAAGTGCGTTTTTGGGTTGCTCCCGTCGTAAATTACGATTGCCAGGGAGTTGGCTCAAGTGCGAAATGTTTGCCGGGCTTCGACTCGGAGCCTTCGAGGATTCGATAAAACCCGGAGGACACTATACACACCAGCTGGCCATAAATTTGAAGAATTTGAATTATGAAATCTTCCTTTCTGCCGCCCTTGCAAATTGAGTGCCAGGCAATTGAGTTTTCGAAGCGAATGGCAAGTAAACAATCGGTTTATTCCGGCTGTCAAGTGCCACGCCCCCTCCGCTTTCCACTCGCTGCCCATTAGTCAGTGTATGACAATGCATAAATTGTGGGAATTATTTATGAAACGCCAATCGCAAAATTTGGCCACAATAAATAAATAAACAAAGCCGAAAGTAAAACAAAGCTAAAACCAAAAGCCATAAGAAAAGGCGCCAGAAAAATAGCGAACTCATTGCGGCAATAATCATAAATTTTGTGTGGTTAATTAATTTATTGGGATTGAGTAGGGAAACGTGCCATTTGACTCTGGTGATTGTGGCTCTTGCGGACACTTGATTAACTAAATATCAACATAAGCAATTGCATACTTAGGTGAGCACACGGGAAAATCTGAATGATAATGGGGTGGGGGATAGGAAAAGTGGGTGAAATTCATAAATCATAGCAGCCTTTGGGGGGTGACCTTGGCAATCAAGTGGATTAATGAGCTCTTGAACTAATAACATCAGGAAGTGTAACATTTTCTGGTTGACTGGTTATGAATTAGTGTTACTTTTGGGTTTATTATGTGCTTCATGTGTTGATTAAGTTAATTAAATGTGATAAATGGCATTGAAAGCTTATACAATATTTATATATTATTTGCTTAAATATGAAGAATTATTTTCATTTTGTTTAGAATGAATCATATTTTTGATTTTACAAAAGAAATATGCATCCCTAAAACTGAAGTATAAAAAATGGTTAAAATAAATTATTCTATGTTTTTTTTGTTTCAATCAATTTTACAAATAAAATGTATGGAGCTTTAAAAACTAAATCTCGTATATAAATCTCATATTACTTTCTGCCAAATTATGCCATACAATTTAATCAAATTTAGAGAACTTGCCAACTGCAAACTCTGCGTACCTTTCAATTAATAGACCCAAGCCTTGGGATTCCAAAATGCAGCATCAAATTTCATGCCACAAAGCTCTGGTTTACATTCGTAATTCTTTGGAATTTTTAATTGTAACGTGCAACGTGAGTTTGTGTGTACTCTTAGGTTGGTTTTCCCTGGAAAACTGCATGTATAAATGTATTCAAATGCAAATTTTCAGCTCTGCTGTATAATTAGAGGAAATACAATTATTTATACACACATGCAAATGCAAACACATTCGCTCGTACCTGCTGATATAATAGTCAAATTCATTAGCCAAAGAAATGCTGTTAAAACCGCACACCCAGAAAAATGCAACGGGTGAAACTTTCGGGCTCCAAAAAATAATTCATTTGAATTAGACTTGCAGAGCCGTGAAAAAGCTGTGTGAGTAAAATCCCGGGAAAAACCTCCATGGAAACAGCCACAAAACGAAAATGATTTCTTAATGCAATTTCTTACACACTCTAGTATTTTTCTATTTTTATTCCATCCATTGTTCGGGCTTAAATCTCACTCGCACTTTGGGTCTAAAGAATTCCGGCTAAAAAAAGCAAAATAGCAACACATAAAGCATAATAGCATAGGGAGGCCGACTTTCCCCCACCGCTTTTCCTGCCATTTTCCCTGGGTTTTCCTCTATATTTTTTGGGAGTTGCATGCGTATCAGCTCGAGACTTCCGGCGGTGTCTTTGTGAAGCTGATCCCCGGCTCAAGGATTTTCTGCAGGAGCTGTGCTGACAGGTTGAAAGCATCATATATAGTGCTTTACAAAACACTAAGAAAAACAGCTGTTTGTAACGAATTTTTGTTGAAAAACTATTTATTTATTTACATTGAAATATTTTTAGAATGTTTTTAGTACTTTAGTACCTTTTAAAAAAAAACAAATATTTTTTTAATACTCTTCCTTGTTTATAGACATTATTTTTAATTTAATTTATTTAATTTTAACATATTTTAAAATTTTTAACTTAAATTTATTCTTAAAGAACCTTTTATCTTTTATATTGATTTGTAAATATTTTTTAATTTTCCATTATTTTCGTAAATTAATTTTAAAGTTTGGAAAATATTTTTCCTTCGTTTCTCCTTCTTTTCCCAGTGCATGTTTTATTTATTTACCTTTTTTGGGAACAAGAAAAATAAAGGAGAAATGGGAAACCCTTTCACCTTATTCAGGCACAACTATCATTGGGTATCATAAATATTTATCAAACCGAAGGTGAGCTGCTTGCCCACTTAAGGTGACCCGAAAAAACCGACAGAGATCCGGTTGAGAGAAAAAGAATTAAATTTAATTTGCATACGTTAAGTGGCAGAGGCAATTAAAGCCACCAAGGAGAGAAAGTTGAAAGGACAAAGGACTTGGTGCGCGGCCCTTTTGATTGAGATGTGAAAGGAGCCAAAGGAGCCGCGGCGAGGGACAAAAGAAAATTGGGTGAAAAGTGGGAAATCATAATTTGCTTCCAAATGCTTGAACTCAATTATGTGCGCACAACATTTTTCGGGGCCACGACAACGACGACATTGCTTTGCTGCCGTTGACAGGCAAATTATGGATTCAAGGCCAATACACACGCACAAATTTCGCCAGTGAAATGGCACTTTCACTTTGGGGAAAGCTCAAGACAATTTGCATAGCGCCCTGCCTGGGGAAAATTACACAGCAAAAAGGAGGAGGAGGCGGAGGAGGTGACGTCATGACCCCAGCAGACATGATAAATTACTCGAACATAAATTTAAGATAAATCATGGGCCACTGCAGCTTCTTGCATACACACGATTGAAATGCACAAGGAAATTTAGCTAAAATGCAAATTGGGGTTTTGGTTTTAGGCAGGGCTATCAGATGTAACTATAGCTATATAGAATCCATATCCAGTCGAGGGGAAAGACAGCGGAAGGTAATCACACTTGGCAGACAGACAGTTGAGCAGGAAGCTGCCTGAAGTAAGCCTGAAAAGGAAAGTCGAACTAATAGTATTTAACTTAAATTCATGAAAGATTGTGCTCTTTTAAAATTAAAAAGAATTTGTAATGTTGGGCAATAAGAATTAAAAAAAAGTTTGACATGTTTGTGTTCCTAAAAAATGTAAACAATTGTGTAATTAATAAGAATACTTCACTTTCATTTTGTAGGCTTTCAATAATAAAATAGTAACTTAAATTTAATTAATTTTAATGCATTAAAAAATCCAAAGTTAGGTCCTAACAATTTTTAATAAAATGAAAAATATTTAATTAAACTTTCATGAGACAGTAATAAACCAATGGTGGGAATTTCATACACCCATGCGTTTCTATTCACCTGCCATGAATTTTTCCAGGTAAACGTCGCCAAACGCTTTACAGAAAAATGGAAAAACGTGTCTCGATGCAGTGTACAAAAAAAGTGATGGCAGAAAAACCAGGACTACGAACGGAAACATGACCACTCCCGGTCAGCACAGCGTAACCGAGTGCATCGATGTGGACACGGCAAGTGGAAAACTCAATTCGACGAGAGAGTCACGTAGTAATCGACACATTCCCAAAATCCCACGGCAGTTTATTGAGACCCGGACATCGATGAGTTGACTGAACCATCAAGATGTCTGAACTCGATTTGGTCCTAGCTGAAAAACCAACTTGCAACTGATAAGAAAGTGAGGTGATCATCGCCAACCGTCCAAATAAAACGTGAACCTTGAAGCTGTTTGTTTACCTAAATCGTCCCAAAATTGTTCACTACTCTTAAAAGCTTATAATGAGATTATCAAGTGCGTTGAGTGCGTCGTTCACCTAAATTTGCCAGATTTCACATCCGCTCTTTGGGCTTAACCCATTTGTTTTCAGGGACAAATGTACCTAAAAAGGTGCCGTTTTATAATTTGTAAGACAACCTACAAATTGTGATATAATTTAAAAACTCAAACATTTTTTAAAGCAATATTAAACAATATTATTATTATTTTAAAATATTATTTGGTGTTTATCTTTTGCCATTAAGAGCCTTGAAATATTATAAGTAACTTTAAAAAAAATTAGGAATGAAACTACCTTAAAACTTAGTAAATTCTCAATTCCAATTTTAATTTTATTGTAATATTTAATTTATTTTATTATTTTTTTTACCTTTTTAAATATTTAGAATATTTTTTGAATTTTAGTTGCTGGGTTTCAAAATGGGTTAATCACACTTTTTCTTTTTTGCTTTAATGTCATCCGCCTGACTGCTGCCTACTATCTCATTTTTGGGCATTAACCTTATACGAATCCCAGCTTTCATATTATTGTCGTGATGATCGCCGGGAACACAAATTAGTTGATGCAAAGCAGCCTTAGTTGCAAGTCGTTGCTTCCCTTAAAAACTTTTGGCAACTTTTATGATATTTTGGTCTGGCGACTGAGTGCAAAAGATATAGAGATAATAAACGGCGAAAAAAAGTGGAACAAATCTTCAGGTTCAAGGCTGTCTGAGACGTCAGAAGACTTTGTTTGGATAAGAAAGTAATTAAGTATCGAAAATCTCTTTTTTACCTGATCTCAATTGTGGAAATTCAACAGACACAATGGAAAGCTTATCACCAAACGATGTGAGTAATACAAACAAAAAGTGAAAAATCCGAAGATTTTATGCTCTTGCACTTACTACCAAACTATGTGCTACATCCGACTTTTAATCTTTATAATAAAATGTTTATATACTTAAGTGATGTGTAAATAAATAAAACCAAGTGATCTTAAGCTGCTCGAAGATCTTATACTCTTCCATTCATAATAAAATGTTTATCTTTATATTTTACACTCTGGCACTCATAGAAGAAACTATTATCTTGATGATTAGGTGAAAAAAGATTGTAAAAGTTTTAACATATTAAAATATATTAGCTAAGCAACCAAATATAAAATGATAGAACAAGCCTCAATCAACTCTTATCAAAATATATACTCTATTAAGTAAGACAACGGATTTTTTTTGGAGGTACAGAGCATGACATTGAAATTTGGCTTTTATTGGGTCACTTTTGCGAATTCCTAATCACGAGATGTTATTTTAAAAGCTTGAAGTCCAAAAATAATATACCGTTTGTTATCAGCTTTCGGCACTCGTCAAATTAAAAATAGTATTTTTCCATGACAAATCTTTAGGTGCCGTTGTTATTTATGAACTGTACTTATCATGCACCTAATTATGTAAGAAAAAAGCGGAAAATAAATTTAAAATAAAATATTTTATATTTTTAGATCCGTCTGCAGTACGAAGATGTGACAATTCCGGCTCCTTGGGGTTTCATATCGGGTCGTTGGTATGGCAATCGTACAGAGCGACCGATTTTGGCAATCCACGGCTGGCTGGACAATCTGGGAACCTACGATCGACTGATTCCGATGTTACCCGATTATATAGGAGTGCTCTGCATCGATCTTCCCGGACATGGTAGATCCTCTCGACTTCCATCTGGAATTCATTACAATGTCTACGACTATGTGTTCATCATTCCGCGGGTAATGAAGGAGTTTGGTTGGTCAAAGGTCTCTCTGATGGGTCATTCCCTCGGCGGAGTGATGAGCTTTATGTACGCGGCAATGGCTCCTGGTTCAGTGGATATGATCATATCACTGGATGTACTGCTCCCCAGAAGGGTTGAGGATCCCAGCAAACTTACTAAAGATATAGAGGGATATTTAATCGAAGAGAAACGGCAGGCGGATGGCACGGAACATGAGCCACCCTCCTTTACCCTGAGTTCAATGCGAAAAGTTCTGGCCAGAAATAGTAATAATTCGGTGCCGGAAGACATGGCCAATCACATGCTCCATCGCCAGGTGGCCAAGTCCCAGATGTATCCGGAAAAGGTCTTCTTTTCGAGGGATAATCGGGTGAAGTTCTATCATATATTCGATATTGAAGAAGGCCTGGCTGCCGAGATGGCCAGGCGTATCAAGAAAAAACCCTATCTGGTAATCAAGGGGGGACTATCGCCATTTGTGGGTCCCCGTTGCGATGAAACAATGTCCATTCTATCGGAAGATAATCCCCACTTTGAGTTCTACGAGGTAAAGGGCGCCAAGCACCATGTTCATCTTCAAGCCGCCGAGGAATGTGCCCGCTATATAGTGCCCTTTATCCGGAATCACAGACCTTCGAAAATTAGCAAGCTCTAAAAAAGGTTTAGAAATTAGGACTTACATTATTTTTAGAATATATTAAAAGTTATTTGTAAATAGTTGTATTTTAAGCATAATAAATAATTTAAAATTATACACTGCACTTTACAAAATACTAACTCAAAAAAATATCCTCTCCGATTTCAAATATCTCCTTGATGGGTCATTCTCTCGGTGAAGTAAAAGTTTTAAAAGTTGTAGTTAATATTAGTACCAAAAGCTACATACTTCTATAAATGTGAACATAGCTGTATATTAATTATCAGGGAAGATTTCTTACATAGTTAAAAGCTAATATGGTGGAGATAAACAAACCAAAAAAGCTCTTTCCACAAATCAGTAGCCAAAAAGTGTTTCAGACGAAAATACCAAAAAAAGTAAAACTAAGCGCAGGCCATGGGCACCTTATTATTAGAAGAAGTACGGTTTTTCTAAAATCGAATTAAAATATGAATATAGAAACCAATTCTGATTGATTGCAGTACAAAGATGTAAGAATAGAAGTTCCCTGGGGCCATATCTCCGGTCGTTGGTATGGAAATCGAAGGGAAAGACCAATCCTAGCCATTCATGGCTGGGTAGACAACTTGGGAACCTTCGATCCACTGATTCCGATGTTACCCGATGACCTAGGAGTGCTCTGCATTGATTTACCTGGCCATGGAAGATCAACGCACTATCCGGCGGGAATTCGTTATAGTGCCGAGGAATATGTGCAGATAATTCCGTGGATTATGAAGAAATACGACTGGAAGAAAGTCTCCCTAATGGGTTACTCACTTGGCGGATTTCTCAGTTTTTATTACGCCTCTATCGCTACGGAAAAAGTGGATTTGATCATCTCCCTAGACTTGTTGCTACCTAAATTTATGAAACCCGATGAAACCATCAAGTGGATAAGGTTAAGTCAGGAAAAACACCTCGAGGAGGATGAGATAATCGGACAGAAGAATCCTGAACGTTCCATGGAAGATCTAATCAAATTGGTGGTAAAGGAATCTTCTAGATCCGTTTCCCCATCTTTGGCACATCATCTGCTGCATCGCGTTGTTAAAAAATCGGTATCTTTAAGTGATAGATTTGTATCCACCAGAGATGAAAGGGTCAAGTACATGACCAAAATGTATCTCTCAAACCCAGAATTGGCTGCAGAAATGGCGAAAAGGATTAAACCCATGCCGTACCTTATTTTAAAAGGTAGCAGATCCAATTTTCTTGGTCCACAGATGTCCGAGGTAATTGACCTTCTGAGTCGCAATAATCCCGATTTTGAATTTCACGAAATTGAGGGCACTCATCACTTTCATTTGCAAGCTGCCAAGGAGTGTGCTAGATATATTGTGCCCTTTATAAGGCGATACCATCCTCCTGGCAAAGAACATGCAAAAGAGATATCGATTGAATGGAGCAAACTGTAAGCAGCTAAATATTATCAGAAAATTATTTTAATTTTTTAGTAAAATATGTAATAAATAAAGAAAAAACTATTGCTTAATTGTACATAATTATTCCTAATAGGCCTACATTTTAAAGCTAATGAGTTCTGATTTGTAATCAAAAAAGCTTTTATGTGGAAACCAAGCTTTTAAATCTTTATCTTAATGGCTGATATTTTGAATATTAACAGAGGACCGACATAAAAATGGAAATAAGACGTTGACTGATTGTTAAGACAGACAGACGTAAATTGGCTTTAAAACTGCTTTAAAAACTTAGCAAAAAATTTAAAAATTAAATAATAAATTAAAAGTCAATAATGAACCATCTTTCAGTAAGTGATGTAGGTAAATGTAATAATATTACCTACCGTATAATAACTTACTTTGTTTTTTTAGTACGAAGAGTTGAAAATTCCTGTCCCCTGGGGATTTATTTCGGGTCGATGGTATGGCAATCGAATGGAACGACCCATTCTGGCACTTCATGGATTTTTGGACAACCTGGGGACCTTCGATCGACTGATTCCCCTGCTTCCCGATCACGTGGGAGTGCTCTGTATCGATTTTCCAGGACACGGAAGATCCTCGCATCTGCCACTAGGAATTCGCTATGATGTGTACAACGATGTCTTCCTTATTCCCCGGGTCATGAAGCATTTTGGCTGGAAGAAGGTTTCCCTTTTGGGTCACTCACTTGGTGCCTTCTATGGATTTATTTACTCCACCATGGCTCCCGATACCGTGGACATGATTATTTGTTTGGATTGTGTGCTAATGCCCAGATTTGATAGTGATACTGCCTTAAAAGGCTTTCGCATGTGTTTTGATCAGCACATGATTCAGGATGAGATGCTGGCCAAGGGTAATTTGCAGGAGCCACCTTGTTACACACTTCCAGAATTGGGGGATCTCTTCGCCAATGGACTAATGAGTTCGGTGACCCCTGAATTGGCCCAGCACTTACTCCACCGTCAGGTGAAGGAATCGGGACTCAATCCGGAATCCTTTTACTTCACCAGAGATCGAAGGGCCAAGTTCTACAATTACTGGGACATCGATGAGGAACTTGCTAGCGAAATGGCCAGGAGAGTGGGAAAGAAACCCTTCCTCATACTCAAAGGATCCATGTCGCCCTTTTTGAGTCCCCGAAGTGATGGGGCCATTTCCATTTTGGCCCAGGATAATCCACACTTTGAGTTCTACGAAGTGGATAATGGTACCCATCACATTCATCTCCAATTTCCCGAGGAGTGCGCCCAGTACATAGTTCCCTTCATCCAATACCATCGACCACCGGGAGGAGGTGAAATACCTTTGGGAAAGTTATAATTAAACCAAGAATGTTACAAATTAATTCTATCGATAAGAAGTGTAAGAATTTTATCACGATCAATAGTCTTCATAATCTAGGAACGTGTACTAATCAATGTTAAGATTAAAACAATTATGTTTGATTACTTATTACCGTCTTTGCTTACTAACGAGTCATAAAACTCTGGCCACGAGCCGTCGACGTATAAAAATAGGGTGTATATTATGGTATTATGGTAAACACTAATCTTCATAATCACTTAACGCTCTGTTATGTGTTTTGATTCAAAACTTTTGAAACCTAAGAAGTCCTGCGGTTTTTTCATGAAAAATAGAGATGTTGAGGTCAAGGAAGGGCATTTTAAAATGTATTTTTGCTTTCAATTAAATATTTAAAAATTATCTAAATTAGTAAGGTATAATTTACAAATCATTTTTGAATTAAACGGCATTATTAATACCATTCGCCCCGAGGTTAACAAAAGCTTTTTTCTTTTATCAGAAGCTTTATTATTGTTTTGATTTTGTGACCTAGTCACAAATTCTTTAAGCAGTCAAGCTAAACGCACGTGAATTTGTAGTTCAGTATTAATTAATATATTTACTTATTAAATTAAATTAAATTAAGTTCAATAACGATTATTTCGTGCCAGCATCGATAAAAAACGCTGAATTGTGTTACAATTAATACAATTTTCCAACAAATTCGACGGCATGGCGATCTCATAAGGCTCTCTTAATGCATAGCGAAAGCTTACTAAAACAGATATTATTCTCTTACGGAACGGAACTCTCTTCGAAAGTTAGATCTCTTATTCGGTCCGATTTCTTAGTAACCCAATGAAATTCAAGATAATAAATTAGTGTGTGCATAGATGTTAATGCAGAAGGACGCATGAAAAATTAAAAAATAAATCGAGAGAAGTTTTAAAAGATAATCCCTGTCTGATACAAACTTTGGAAGAAATGGGAACATTATCATTGACTGATGTAAGTAATATATGAAGTGTGAAGACTGATATATCTGCGACCTTTGCTCGCCAGTTATTAATTTGTAATCTTAAATAATTATTGAACTATTAGTAATTGGTATTAAAGTTGAATTATCAATCCTAATTTTTTCAGTTTGAGGCGGTGAAGATTCCAGTGCCTTGGGGTCACATCTCAGGTCGTTGGTACGGCAATCGAAAGGAGCGACCCATCCTGGCAATCCACGGATGGTTGGATAACCTGGGAACCTTTGATCGACTGATTCCCCTGCTTCCCGACTACGTAGGAGTACTCTGCATCGATCTGCCAGGACATGGAAGATCCTCGCACCTTCAGCCGGGAATGTACTACAGTGTCTACGATTATGTGTTCATAATTCCACTGGTGATGAAGGAGTACGGCTGGTCAAAGGTCTCATTGATAGGTCACTCATTGGGCGGAGTGCTGTGCTTCGTTTACGCCTCACTGGCTCCTCACACCGTGGATATGATAGTCTCCTTGGATATTTTACTACCGTTAAGAAACGATATAGACTATATGGCCTTGAGCATTGAGAAGCAACTTTTGGATGTTGAGCGGCAGAAGCAGGGAAATTACAATGAGCCACCCTCCTACACTCACGATCAGCTGGGAAAAGTCCTGGCCAAAGGAAGCTATAATTCCGTATCGCCCAAACTGGCTAAGCACCTCCTCCACCGTCAGTTAACCAAGTCCAAATTATATCCAGAGAGGTTCTACTTCTCCAGGGATATTCGGGTTAAGTACTACCACTATATGGATATAGACGATGGTCTTGGCGCTGAAATGGCGAGGCAGATTCGCAAGAAACCCTACTTGATCATCAAGGGCTCCCTGTCGCCGTATCTTTCGCCCCGCAGCAATGAGGCCATATCCATTTTGGCCCAGGATAATCCACACTTTGAGTTCTACGAGGTGGAGGGGGGCACCCACCATCTTCATCTTCATGCTGCCGAGGAATGTGCCAGTTATATTGTGCCCTTTATCCAGCATCATCGACCTCCTGCCTTAACTTCCTGGACTTTAAACGGAAAAGAGGAAAACCTTGGTTTGAGAAATCGAAGGGGATTCTTTAATTGGTCTAAGAAAAAGCGCAGCAAGTTGTGAAATACAGATAGTACAAAGTCTAGTTCAGTTTAGAAATATAACTTGTGTATTCCATATCTTTTAAATGAATATTAAAAATTATTTTAATATATTTATAAGAACTGTATTTTTTTTTGAAGATTTTTCGAGTATTACTTTCCAATTAGTTTTGTTAAAAATAAAGGTAATTCTGTTTTCAAATCATGATATTCTGTTTATTCCGTGTTTCAATTTCAATAACTGAACTTTTTTAAGAGAACTAATAGTTTTTCTCTTTATATTTTTAATTTTTTCTAACCCTATGTAAAGCTTTTTTCCCACAATCTCTTTTTTTAGCGCCCTAAAATGCCAACCTCTCTTATAATCTGAATCAGTCATCGAACAGCTGTTACACTTGTAGGAAGGAAAATTCTTAGATAGCAATTCCGGATTGCTAATCGTGGACGTTCCAACCAGATACTCAAGATAATACTGGAAGTGGAAGTCCACAATTACTGGACCGAGTCTAAAGGTCAAAGTACAAAGGGCTGTCGCTTAAGATGGGAACTTTGTCACTGAGCGAGGTGAGTAAGCAAATAAATAAAATCATAAACCACAAAAAGTGATAAGCACAATTCTCATACATTTACATTCACAGCGAAATTCGTATAATTGGCAAATCAATGGATTGAACTAATTGGCAGATCAGTGAAGAAAAACAAAAATAATTCGAATCAAATCATCATAATTGGATAAATAAACAAGTTCCTAATCAAAATCTTGTTATACCCTTGCAGAGGGTATTATGATTTCAGTCAGAAGTTTGCAACGCAGTGAAGGAGACGTTTCCGACCCCATAAAGTATATATATTCTTGATCAGCATCACTAGACGAGTCGATCTAGCCATGTCCGTCTGTCCGTCTGTCCGTCTGTCTGTTTCTACGCAAACTAGTCTCTCAGTTTTTGAGCTATCGGGATGAAACTTTCCCAAAAGTCTTCTTTCTATTGCAGGTAGTATATATGTCGGAGCCGACCGGATCGGACAACTATATCTTATAGCTCCCATAGGAACAATCGGAAAAAAAAAACTTTAAAAAATTCTAGCTTCGGTGTTTTTTGAAATATCACCTTCTACTTTTGGGGATGTTATTTTTTAAATATATTTGAATTTCGAATTAATTATTTAAAAAATCGGACTACTATATCATATAGCTGCCATAGGAACGATCGAAAAATTAATGGAAAAGTAATAGGAAATAAATTCTAGCTTCTTTGGTTTTTATTGTATTATCTTCTACTCTAGGATATGACTCTTTTTAAATATTTCCGAATTTCAATTTTAATTTAATCAAAATCGGACGACTATATCATATAGCTGCCATAGGAACGATCGGAAAATTAATGAGAAATATTAGAAAATTGAACATTTTTGCGATTTGTTAATTAATAAGAATGATCTGCAAGGGTATATAAGCTTCGGCTGGCCGAAGCTAGCTTCCTTTCTTGTTCTATATGAATTTGAGTAAGTGCTAATTCTAAAAAGTTTCATGTTGATTATCTCAAATAATTATCTTAACAGAATGGTATTAAGTATGTGTATTCCTCACTTAGTTTAAAGACGTGAGAATCCCAGCACCTTGGGGTCACATCGCAGGACGTTGGTATGGCAATCAAGAGGATCGACCGATCCTTGCAATCCACGGATGGTTGGACAATCTGGGAACCTTCGATCGACTGATTCCCCTACTCCCTGATTATATAGGAGTGCTCTGCATTGATCTTCCCGGACATGGAAGATCCTCCAGCATTCAGCCGAGGATGCATTATTCGGTCTACGATTACGTCTACATTATTCCCCGAGTGATGAGAGAGTATGGATGGTCGAGGGTTTCCCTAATGGGTCACTCGCTAGGTGGCTTTATTAGCTTCGTTTACACTTCACTGGCTCCACAGACAGTGGATATGGTCATATCCTTGGATATATTACTGCCTAGGACAGTGGTTCCCAAGAAAGCTGTAGATGTGGTGGCCCAGAGCATGGAGAAGCATCTGGTGGAGGAGGAACGTCGGGAGAAAAGTCATCTCACAGAACCCACCTCCTACACTATCTCCCAGCTGACCAAAACCCTAGTGAAGAGGAACTCCAATTCTATTACACCTGAGCTAACTAAGCACCTTCTTCATCGCCAGGTGGAAAAATCAAAACTTTTTCCAAACAGTTTCTACTTGGCCGGGGATGGCCGGGTAAAGTTCTACCATCTATCGCAAATGGAACCTGGACTCGGTGAGGAGATGACGAGAAGGATCCTTAAGAATCCCTTTCTATTAATAATGGCGGAAATGTCATCGTTTGTGGGAGCCCAATGTGAGGTGCCCATATCTATTCTGCGCCAATACAACCCACACTTTGAGTGCTACGAAGTAGAAGGTGGTACCCATCATATCCATCTTAAATTCCCTGAGCAGTGCGCTCGTTACATAGTGCCCTTCATAAGGCGTTATAGACCTCCTACTCCAATCTCTGAAGAAGGAGAAATACTCACTGAAAGGACCAATAACAAACAAAGTAAACTGTGAATTAATAAATAAAGTGCTACTATTTTTAAAAGAATTAATGAAAAATATATATAAAATATTTATATATTAGTATAATAACAATAAGTTTATTAATATAATATGCATACATAAAACTTGATCATAGAATGTGATTCAGATTACTCTCTTTTGTGTAGGTAGTTTTCCCTTTCTCTTTAAAAGCACTTCACTCTCTTATCGATTGGTTATCATACGTCATTATTAAGTTTCTCTTTTTAGTTACCTGCCTAAAACCAAAAAATCAATATTGCAAATTAGTCGGAGAACAGCTGTTGAACTCTAAAGAGGTTCCAATTTTGATAAAGCCAACGTGGTGCCACCAATTTGAGTTCCAAATCTTTGCCAAACTTTACCGACGTGCAAAGTTCAGAAGACCGTTCGATCGGGATGGGAACTTTGTCTTTAAGCGATGTGAGTAAGCAAAAAATTAAATCATAAACAAAACTGAAAGATAAGCTGAATTTGCCGGTACCGCCAAAATTTGTTTACTAAGAAAAAAATGTATTTCTTTTCCAGTTCAAAGAAGTGAGAATCCCAGCACCTTGGGGTCACATTTCTGGACGTTGGTATGGAAATCGAACGGAGCGACCGATCTTGGCCATCCACGGATGGTTGGACAACCTGGGAACCTTTGATCGGCTGATTCCCCTACTTCCCGATTATATAGGAGTGCTCTGCATCGATCTTCCCGGACATGGAAGATCCTCTCGCCTTCCGCCGGGAATGCACTACGGCGTCGATGATTATGTGCTGATTATTCCCCGTGTGATGAAGGAGTACGGCTGGTCGAAGGTTTCCCTAATGGGTCACTCACTAGGTGGCATCATAAGCTTCATGTACACCTCTCTGGCTCCACATACAGTGGATATGGTCATCTCCTTGGACATTTTACTTCCCTCGAATATGGTTCCCCAGAAGGCAGTTGGGTTTGTGGCCCAGAGAATGGAGAAGCATTTGGTGGAAGAGGATCGTCAGGAGAAGGGTAATTTCCATGAGCCTCCATCCTACACGCTCTCTCAGTTGACCAAAGTTCTGGCCAAGGGAAGCTTAAATTCTGTAACCCCTGAATTCGCTAAGCACCTGCTCCACCGGCAGGTGTCAAAGTCGCAACTATACCCAGATAGATTCTATTTCTCAAGGGATGGTCGAGTGAAGTTCTATCACCTCACACAAATGGAAGCTGGACTCGCCGAGGAAATGACAAAACGGATACGAAGAAAGCCCTACTTGGTCATTAAGGGATCATTGTCTCCATTCGTGGGAAAGCATTGCGAAAAGCCCATTGAAATCTTACGCCAAAATAACCCCCATTTCGAGTTCTATGAGGTTGAGGGTGGTACTCATCACGTTCATCTTCATGCCGCCGAGGAGTGCGCCCGTTATGTAGTGCCCTTTATAAGGCATCATCGACCTCCTGCTCTGACTTCTTGGTCTTTAAATGGAAAGGAGCAGCAACTGAGTGCCGAGGAAAAGCGACGACAACGAGAAAAATTCTTCGAAATAAGCAAAAACAAACGCAGCAAGCTGTAAAGTACTTAATTTATATGGACATAAAAAGTATTGATGTTGTGGTTTATCATTATATTAGTTTAATTTAAAATGCATAAATAAAACTTTATTAAAGCTAAGAATTTTGCCTATTTTTATTTAAAATAAAGGCACTTGGTTTAAACTTGCTGTTCACCTCAGTTTATGAGGAAGTAACAATCAGGCAACTCTTTCATAAGGACCGACCTGGCATCTCTGTTTTCTTTATCACCCCACTTTGTTGATTTCCTACAGTGTGCTTTTGTCTGTCATTCACTTCAAGTTTCCCGGTTGAGAAGAAACGCCGCAGTTTTTAAATAAACTTATTATTTACCAACATAAAGTTTTTGTAATTATTCTGATCTCCTGCATCTGGATTCTTGGCAAATCCCAACACACTTTCACTCACTCATCGGTTTATTATCATAAAAAACAATATTGGAAATTAGTCCGAGAATAGCCGTTGATCTCTAAATAGACGTTCCTATTCTGATAGCGCCAACTCTGAATTTAAAATCTCGGCTAAAATCTACACACGTGCAAAGTAAAACAAAACGTTCGATCGGAATGGGAACTTTGTCTTTGAGCAATGTGAGTAAGCAAACAAATTAAATCACGAACCCTAACAAAAGTATAGAGATAAGCAGCATGTGCCGGTACCCTAAAATTTTTTACGACAAGATTAAAGTAATGTACACTCAAAAAAAAGGAAAAAATATTTCTTAAATCAAGAAATAATAGATTTCAGTTTAATATGTTTAAGAAAAATTATTTTTTTGAAATTTTTTATCAAGAAAAGATTTCTAGTGTAGTCTAAATAATATTTAATAAATATTAATGGGTACCTCCTTTATTCCTTTTACAGTTCAAGGAGGTGAAAGTCCCAGCACCATGGGGTCACATCTCTGGACGTTGGTATGGAAATCGAACGGAGCGACCGATCTTGGCCATCCACGGATTTTTGGACAATCTGGGAACCTTCGATTGTTTGATTCCCCTGCTTCCCGATTATATAGGAGTGCTTTGTATTGATCTGCCTGGACATGGAAGATCCTCCCGTCTTCCACCGGGAATGCTCTATGCGGTCGACGTTCATATGCTGGTCATTCCCCGAGTGATGAAGGCGTACGGCTGGTCGAAGGTTTCGCTAATGGGTCACTCCTTGGGTGGCATGATAAGCTTCCTTTACACCGCTCTGGCTCCTCATTCAGTAGATATGGTCATCTCCTTGGACATTGTGTTACCTTTGAATCGAGTTCCGAAAAAGGCAGTGGGCCTGGTGGGCCAGAGATTGGAGAAGAATTTGGTGGAGGAGGATCGTCAGGAACCCGAGCCGCCTTCCTACACGCTCTCTCAGTTGACTAAAGACGTCGCCAAAGGAAGCATTAATTCTGTTACCCCTGAATTCGCTAAACACCTGCTCCACCGGCAGGTGTTGCAGTCGCAACTTTATCCAGATAGATTCTATTTCTCAAGGGATGAACGAGTGAAGTACACCAACATAATGCAATTTGAATCTGGACTCGCCGAGGAAATGACCAAACGTATACGAAGAAAGCCATATTTGATCATCAAAGGATCTTCGTCTCCATTCGTGGGAAAACACTGCGAAAAGCCAATTCAAATCTTACGCCAAAATAATCCACATTTTGAGTTTTACGAGGTGGAGGGTGGTACACATCACGTTCATATCCATGCCGCTGAGGAGTGTGCCCGTTATATAGTGCCCTTTATAAGGCATCATCGACCTCCTGTATTAACTTCTGGGGGTTTAGATGGAAAGGAGCAGCAACTGAAGGCCGAGGAAGAACGAGGGCGACAAGAAAGATTTTTCCAAAGAACCAAAAACAGCAAACTGTAAAGTACATATGTATGATATATGGAGATACAAAATAAACCTCTAAAACTCAAAATATTTTATCAAACTGTTAATAGAAAGTTAGCATTATTAACTGCATAATATTTTTTATTGACGTTTAAAAATGCTAAAAGATGTATTTATAAACCACAATATTTAAAATTCAGTTTAAAACTGTTCCCATGATTTTTATTTTTAGCAATGTTTATATTTTCTCTTTTTACAAACTCTTTTAAAAAGCTCTCTTAGTTTCTTATCTGCTAATTCTCTTTCAGTCTCTTTGGTTAGCCATTTAAAGCGAAAAAAATCGATATGGCGAATTAGTTGACGAACAGCTGTTGCCGGCGAAAGAAGTACAACATTTTCGAAATATATTATTTTAATCGAAACTTTTGCATTTCGGCTAGATACTTAAGATAATACTGGTCGTGGTACTATATTTACTGGATCTGTTTTAAAAGTTCCCGACGTGCAAAGTTCAGAAGGCCGTCGGTCGAGATGGGAACTTTGTCTTTGAGCGATGTGAGTAAGCAAAACAATAAAAATATTAAGCTAAGAGAGAAGATAAGGAGACCTTGCACGCACTAGAAAAACTTAATTCACATACTTTTTGGAACTGTTGAACTAGAATTATTATATTACGGTTATTAAATGTTTTAACATAAAATCATAAAATATAAAAAATAAATTCAAATACTGCAAATATTCTTTTAAGTTAAATTTCTTCCTTTCTTAGTAATAAAGTATTTTTTTATTTTCTAGTACAAGGAAGTGAGAATCCCAGCACCTTGGGGTCACATCTCAGGTCGATGGTATGGCAATCGTACTGAACGACCGATCTTGGCAATCCACGGATGGTTGGACAATCTGGGAACCTTCGATCGTTTGATTCCCCTACTTCCCGACTATATAGGAGTGCTATGCATAGATCTTCCCGGACATGGAAGATCCTCCCGTCTTCAGCCGGGAATGCATTACAACATGTACGATTATGTTTATATTATTCCCCGTGTGATGAAGGAGTATGGTTGGACAAAGGTCTCCCTAATGGGTCATTCCCTAGGTGGCATAATGAGCTTCATTTACGCCTCCTTGGCTCCTCACACGGTGGACATGGTCATCTCTCTGGATATTTTGTTGCCCAAGCCATTGGGAGATCCTAGAGAGGCACTTGCTCAAGTTGCCCAGGATATGGAGAAGCATTTGGTAGAAGAAGGTCGTCAGGATGAGGCAAATCTGCATGAACCCCCCTCTTACACCCTCTCTCAGTTGACCAAAGTGCTCGCCAAAGGGAGTTTCAACTCTGTAACCCCTGAATTCGCTAAACACCTGCTCTATCGCCAGGTGGGCAAGTCTCAGCTGTTTCCAGACAAATTCTATTTCTCCCGAGATGGAAGGGTCAAATTCTATTTCTCCAGCCCTTTAGAACCAGGACTTGCTTGAGATGGCGAGGAGGATCGGAAGAAAGCCCTATCTTATAATAAAAGGATCAAAATCACCGTATGTGGGATATCAATGCGACGAACCCATGTCCATCCTGCGCCAAAATAATCCCCATTTTGAGTTCTACGAGGTGGAGGGTGGTACCCATCACGTTCATCTTCATGCCGCCGAGGAGTGCGCCCGTTATATAGTGCCCTTTATAAGGCATCATAGACCTCCAATTTTGACCTCTTGGTCTTTAAATGGACAGGAACAGCAGCTAAGCTCAAAGGAAAAACGCAGGGTTCAGGAGAAATTCTTTGAAAGGAGTAAAATTAAACTCAGCAAACTGTGAAATAATACAAATTACAAAAATATTATTAATTACAAATATGTGTATTTTGGTAGAACTAAGCTTTACATTTTAAAAATCAAAATAATAATGCTAGATCTTTAAAAGTTAACAAGCATTTTATTTCTTTTGTCTCTAGTAAATTTTTAGCATACTCCCTTTTTATTGGAGCTTTAAAATAATATCAAGAATTTATCACAATTTAAAACGTTCCTTAGCTTCAGTAATTTTCTAATCTGATTTGTAATTATAGATTATTGCCTTAGTGATGTCGATGCCCCAGCAGGCAGTCCCAATACCAATAGATATATTACCTCCCCTTCTACATTAGAGCTCTTGTCTGAGAATTTCCTGCTTCCCCACTGTTATTCCACTTGCAATTTAAGCAATTTTAAGCAGCTTACAGCTTGAGCGCATTAGAACAATTAGCGCAGCTTTGATGCCATAGATTTCGATCCGTTAGAGCGTAAAAAGTTAAGCAGCAGGCAACCAAGTTAAGGGAAAATATATGAAATGTCCTTGAAAGGAAACTCAAAATTTTCCTCACATCAAAAAGGGGAAAATGCGAATAGTTGCGAAACCGAAATTTGGCAAGTAATCAGCTAACCAAATGAATGCAAATTAAATACTCGAAATTCCAGCCAAACTTTTCTGTCCTCGCAAAAGTAGACTGCTTCATTGAAAATTTATTTTACCGCAAGCGCAAGAGATTTTCATTGCCTATCTTTAGGCGGAAGAAATGGGGAAATGGAACTCCCCAATTTATTAATTTAAACACTTTGTTGTTAGCCGAAGAAATTGTTGAATTTTAAACATTTGTATCGCATAATTTTCTTGTCATTTATTTTGATTGGCCAAAATTAATATTTATGGATCTGTATTTTCGTTCCCTTTTTTGGCTGGTTAATTCAATCAATTAACGTTTTGAGTGGAAAGTCAAGAAAATACAGGAAAATTCCCATTATTCCACTATCGATTTTGCCATTTTAGAGGGCAAAAATTGTGTACTTATATGTGTATACACGTGGCATATTTCGGTTGTAATCAGAGACGCCCCAGGGTTTTCCTCCTTTTCCCATTCATTTTTTGGCATTTCGAAGGTGGAAACCATAAAGCCTTGACGATTGATATGCTAGATGCCTAGATTTGCAAATTAAAGTGGGTTCGGGCTTTGGGTTTTTGGGGCTGAGAAGGCGATTCCCGGCTCGTGTGCACTTAAATTCCCTTTGAATGGCTGAGAAACTTGAACGCCTTCCGCCTCCGTTTTCAGCAACAATTTCTTTTGGTGTGATATTGGGTTAAGCAGCCTTTAAAGAGGTGAAGGAAAATCGTATTTGGGTTTCGGGTTTCCCTTAGCTAATGGCCAGGAAAGTTGATGAATTCGCGGGAGCCCGGGCACTTAATGAAAGTGAAGGAAAGCCATCATTTTCACTAGATGAACGCTTCCGCGAAATAAAGATTTATGGGAATTTAGTCAAGAAACTTGAGCAAACCTTAAATCAAGTGTAGGCGTTAATTGGAAAAAGTTCAAAGAAATATTTGAAGGGGAATTTAAAACTAACTTTTATGAAATAGTTGCATAACACATCATATAAAAAAATTGTATAAAAAAAGGAAAGTGATAAATAAAATGTTTAAAAATATTAAATTAAATAAAGATTTATGTGGATTTATTCAAAGAAAGAAATTAAATTCTAAATTATTCCCAAGGGTCAAATGAAACCTCATACACGAAAGCGCAACTAAAATATAAGTCAACCTAAAACTTGTGAGAAAATTAAAAACCTCTAAGATTTATGTGGATTTCCGAATAGAAAATTTAAGAAAAAATTAGAGCAGAAACTTGAGCAGACGTCGCCCAGCTTAATAACTTTTAGCCGCTATAAACTTTTACCTCAAATGAGAAAAAGTTCAAGGTTAAGTCCGTAAATTTTGCACGAGGGGGTAGAAAACTTTAAAGCGATTCTGGAGCACTTTCGATGCGGCATGCATACGTCCAATAAACATCACCTGGCACTCCTTTAGTCGGGCCCATAAAACGGCCAAAACTACCGCATTAAATGATTTAAAACGAGCCACACGATTCTCTTGGCCTGATTGAAATGAATTGGTGGTGGCGGTGGAAAAGGGAAAACTGGAAGACCTTAAACCGAATGAATTATGCAGAGGCCCAGCAGCGTGGGGCTTAATAAACCAAACTTAACGAAAAGCTGTTTAAAATGCGAGCCGGCCATCTCGAATATTTCCCAGCTCGGTGCAATAAATCTGAGGCCACAAACTGCACTCGATTGCCCTTCCGCATGCAACGCTTTCCCAGAAGCGGGAAAAAAAGGAAAACAACTTTTCACGTCCGATGATGCTCCGTTGCATGACTTTTTGTTTTCAAGTCGAGCGGAAGTGCTTTCGACGCCATTTTGCGGCCGGCGATTGCAATTGAGTGCAGCCCCGACTTCATCAGCTTCCAGTTCCGCTCTCCCTTTCTCTCTTGCAGCCCTCAAGGATCCTTGGAGGGGCTCAAGGATACGTGCCCGAGCCCACTGGCACGCACTTTAAGTTTCATTAAACAAAACCATCGCGCCTAGGCCTCCGAAGATTGCCTATAAATTCATGGAAGCCAGTCAAATGGAAAGCAAAATCTATGACAGGACTCTGGGCTCTAGATATTTGGTACAGTAAAGTGTCGACAGAAGAAACAGAAATCCTTTTAGAATATATAAAGAGAAAGAAAATAATGAAATAAAAACTAAATGCAGTGAAATATTAAATCAAATATTCTCAGCGTTGTTAAAAAATTATATAAAATATATTATTATAATAATAAAAATAAAATAAGAAATATTTACATTTCTGAAATAAAGAAATTGTTTGATAAAAAGGGCTCACAATTTGTATTTTCTTAACCACTAAAAAACAAATGTTTATCCTAATTTGTTTATGCCAATCAACTTTCGAGTGTTTACTGTATCTATCGACATTTTCCGGCTCTGCTGACGCAGCAGTGAAAATCCGTTTGCATTTCAGTGAGTTTGGCCTGTCGAGGCGGAGATTTCTATTGCCAGACCCACATTCTTTGGACGACCATTAAATCTGCAACAATTTACTTGTGATTGACATGTTTATAAGGGTCGTAACCCACAGACCCCCTTCTCTAGCCACCCTTTTATTCCGAGGGAGTGACCCTTTTTCGGCTGGAGATATTTGTTTTTGTCCCCTTTCATAAACAAGTGAAGCCTAAAACGTTTCTGGACTGCTACTGCTCTCTCTCTCTTTTTATTTCATTTACCCCGCAAAAAAATAAATCTTTGATATTTGTGCTGTCAGAGGAGCATACTAAATATCCTTTTGCATTTTCAAGTACTTTTCTTTTGCGAGGCGGAAGACGGTGAAGTGGACAACAATTCCTGGTATTGTCTGAAATCCCAGGCACGCACAATTAAAAGTTCCCACGTCAAGCTATACATGAATAAAACAACAAAGTCGAGTGCGTGAGGAAGGGAAAATCAATTAATCGAATTAATGATGGCCTGGAAAAAAGACTATTTATGAAGAAAAAAAATTAATATATAAATATTTCAGAGGGTGAAAAAAATCAAATTAGGTAAAAAATGGTGAACTTAAATTTTTGATTTATCTAAAAAAAGAACTGCAAAAATTACTTATACATTCCTTACCCGTCGATCTCGTAATTAAATTAATTTTCTAAATGTGTTTCCATTTGAATAAGTTCCCACATAAAAAACTTTCTTGGCAGGTTCATCATACCCATAAAAAGCCGATGAAAGAGGTGGAAAAAAGAAAATAAGAGAGTGCTTGCACAGAATCTCCGATATCTCCATTGGCAGACAAAACGCATGTTTTGTTTTAATTTTGCACTCGCCAGAGAAAAAAATACAACCGGTTTTCAACAGGCGCCCCACAAAAACAAAGGGCAACAAATGGAAATAAATAAAAAATACTACAACGATCAATTGAAATGCAACAAAAAACAGCTGACACGCAAGCGACTGCAACTCGAACGCACTTCGAACGGCAACTCGAACTAAAAACCGGGTTCGCAGCGATCATGGTTAAGATCGAAATTAAAGGTAACTTGGGAAAACTTTCAGTTGAGCGCGAGAATTCCACGCGGGCGGACGGGGCGGATGAACGATATTCCGGTATATCATATCATTTCGGTTTAATTTCGGTATTTGCGATAAGAACTCCCTTTGTTTCGAAATCCTCAAAAGTATGATTGCATATCAAACGAAGTCAAATTACCCAACATTAAACAACACACAAAATGAACTGAAAAACTCATTTCGAAACAGGCGAAAACATTTGTCAGCTGTTAAAACAAATTTTGTGTGGAGAAATGCTAATGACTTTTGTTGTTTTTGTTGCTACCGCTGAACTTTTCAATTAATTTAACAGCCCGTCGACGTCGTTGGCATAGATCTTATCGTCATATCATAAAACAAAATAAAAGTCGAGGCCCTGAAAAACAAAAAACCCGAAAAAAGTTCTCAAGAAAGTTTAACGAAATTGAAAGAAAACAAAACAGCAACTCAAACGGTGGTTGTTGTTGTCTATTTTGGAAGTGATTTTTTTAGGCCGAAAGGTGTGCCCGATTCCAAAGATTCGAGGCATTAAGAGTTCCCCCGCGGGGTTCTCCACATTCAGCTACCCTTTTCATGATTTTTTTCGCCGAGTTTTCGCTGAGCTCAGTGGGATATAAAAATATAGACATAACTCCGTTCATATTTTGTACTGACATTTGAAACCTGAAATACCGAAGTTGCTGCACAGCAAGGTTGTTTTTTACCTGTCCTCTGCCATTAATTGAAATTCAATGCGGAAGGGGCGGTGGGCTAGTGCAGTGAGGGGGGTTTTTTGGTGGGAAGGGGGGAAAACCGCTAGGCTATGACAATTATTACAGCTTCCCAAAAGCAGCCAAAGGAACAGGTTGCTCCATCAAAACCCGGAGTCAAGCCAAGTAGTGCAAATTGCTTTGCCAACATAGAACATAAAAAACGGGAAAGGAAGTTGGGACCGAAAAGCCGATATTAAAATACCCTAATAGGAAGAAATATTATAAAATTTTTGTAAATTATAAATAAATAAATTTTTTATTGTTGTCTCAATAGTATTTTTGTTTGAATATTATTATTAATTTTGAATGGGTCATAATTATATTTACAATAAGCTAGAATAGGATTCAGAAACTTTCAAATTTCTGAAAAGTAATAGATTCCGTTAAATAGAACGTATAAAAAAAACTTCCAATAATATAAAGGAGATTTTTAAATTATAACAAAATTATTTCACCAAGATAATCAATTTCAATTAGATCTGTAAAATCTAGTAAATTTCAAATATCCCATAAAAAGATGTGAAAAAACGGAGCCAGATATGTAATCTATAAAAATCAGGGACCGTAAATAATCATTATTTGAGATTTTTATTTTAAAAGGCCTACTGAGGTTTTTACAAGTTTTAATCAACAATTTAACTGGTTTTTATGCACTTTATAGAGATGAACAAATAACAGTTAATTTGCTTTCCAGATTTGTTAAAACGCATATACTTTGTGGACAAGAGTAAAAAGAACGTTATTTTTGACGTTTAAAACAAAATATCACAGTAGTCTTTTCAAAATAAAAATCTCAAATAATGATTATTTACGGTCCCTGATAAAAATATTTTGAAAAAGTCTTATAAATAAAAGTGATAAACACAATTAATTGATAACAATTTTGTGATAATGCTATAATCAAGATAAACAATTTCAACAAAATCTCCAAAATCTATGGGATATCCAAGTACCCTCTGAAAGAGTATAGAAAAAAACGGAGCAAGATTGGCAGCGGAATGGCCAGAGTGAGAGGCAGGAAAAGAGGCATCGACCACTTACGCATAACTGTAAGATAGACTGCCAGCAAACAGGATTTTTTGCACGTACTTTTCTTGCTCACAAGTGAAAGAATTACTTGGCTCTTTTTCTTCTGCTCCTCTATGTACTATATAGTGTTTGAGATTGCCGCGCCCCTTATCAACCGACAAATTAAGTTCAAACTGCTGCTGTTACTCGGCAGGGTAAAGAGCTAAAACTTCAATTTGTGTCAAAATACTCATGCGCAAAAATGGAATTTTTCCATTAGGCCCCAGAGATAGAGAGACTCCAAACAGAAAAAACTAAAGAAAAACAACCAACAAAAAAGACTTAAACTAACATGAAAATAGTGAAAATCATGTGGAGAGACTGGCAAGGCACTGGGAAAAAATTATGTTGTATGGAATAAAATTTATATTATATTAAAGAATTCATTTTAAAAATGATTAAATTGATAATAAAATATTTTTGTAAGATGAAGGATTAATGAATAATACAGTTAATATGGTTTTCTAGGAAATTTAATATGCTTTGGTAGAATACAAAATATTATAACTAAAGAAAATATTTGGGAATATTTTTTAAAATTCAATTAAATTTTTGTGATATGTAAATGACATTTAAAAATGGTTCTTACACATTTAACAATTTTTCCCGGTGCATTGGAGTAAAGTAAAGTAAAGGCAGCCGAAGTTTCAGGCTGCAACTTGTCAAACGTGTTCCCCAACAAAGTCTCGCGGCATTTGGAAATGTGCAGCATTGTGCAGCAGCGGCAAGAAAAACAGCAGCAGCAGCAAAAGCAACGAAAACAACTCGCATAACTGTGACTTGTATTAATTTTCAAGCTTTTCCAAAGCAGCAAACAAAAAGAAAATCCTAATCCCGCCTTGTTGTTGTCTCGGCAGAAAAACAACAAAAATAATGTGTGCGGCGACAAAAGCTTCAATTAGCATTTAGAAAAGCCGCATCATCATCGCGATCCCATCATTAAAATCCCTTTACCGATGGAGGAGGACGTGCTGAATGCCCTGCAGACGCGAAGTGTCTATCTATCCGGGGGATTCGATCGCCAGAAGCGCATCATCTTCGTTGTCAACGCATTCAACGATCTGCAGCTGTGGAATCGCCGCTATCTGCAGGTGACTCTGGACTATCTGAAGCGTTCGCTCAGGTGAGAATCGGGAATTAAGTGGTCTTACGTTGGGGTATTAGAAACGGAAAAACAAAAAATGCCGACGACTCATTAGCATATGGCCGAAATATGCAAATAGCCCGCAGATGATGAAGGCCCATTTTTTGTGTTGTCGTCTTTTAATGCATTACTTTTCATTAGACACGGCTTTCGGCTGAGGGAGGGGTCTGAAAACGGGTCTCGAAAGGGGGGCTATGACTGCAGATAGGCCTCACAAAATCTGGTTATTTATTAGCAAAGTGTCAGAGTTCTCAGGCAAATTAAATGCTTAAACGTGTTGTTGAATGAGAAGGAGTGCTAATATCCCATAATAAAAATTAAAAAAAATATATGTTGCATATTTAGAAAGATTAATTTATTTAAAAAACTCTTAAAAATGTTGCATAATATTTTAAGTATGCAAATAAGTTAGAAATATAATGAAACAAATAAAAACAGGAAATGGTAGTTATTTTAAACACAAATATAAATGTTGGTATCGCTCAAAACATAATTTATGAAAATTAAAATTTAGTTTTATTTGAGTTCTAAGAAAATATTTCTTAATAAATGTTTATGATAATTAGTATGCATTTAACTTTCATTTTAGTTATGTTTAAAAACAAATGTTGGTAATTTTACACCTGAACATAAATGTAAATAAGAGCCCATTGCCATCAATGTTCCTCATGAAAATAACACTCTAAAATTAATTTATGAAAATCAAATACCACTCGTACCCTACTTAAAGGTCGAACAACACAGCCTATGGGCCTTTCAGAAACGCCCTTCTTTTGTTGTTTCCCCATTTTAGTTTCGTTTGTTTATTGGCACAACAGGCAAATTGTTTAATTTTACGAGGTAGCCATCAAACACACTTTTATAAGACAGGGAAAAGGCCACATGAATTATGGATATATTGATTGTGATCAATCAACTGGCAATGGGTCAACAACAAGCGATGGTGGTTAATTAAAGCCAAATCTTAACTGGCGGGCTAATGAAGCGTTTAAAAGCGCTTTTCTCTCTTTTCTCTCGAAAACCCAACCGATTAACCATCTTGGCATCAATCTCTTTCAGCGCTTCGGTTCTGCAGAATGGCGTGAGTGTGGTGGTCAATGCCCAGGAGAGCAGCTCACGGATCTCGAGGCAGCAGGTGCGCCAGATATACGCCCTCTTCGGGGGCGACATCAATGTGGATCTGTATCTAGTCAGGGCGGAGGGCTTCTGGGAGAAGCATGTGGAGCCGTGCACCAAGTCCCAGGTCAAGGGAGAGGTGAGTCAGTGACCTAGATTTGTTTACTGTAAGGGATGCACTTCAAAATAAGTTAGAAGTATGAAAAAGTTTGTGGAAAATATATATAGTTAGTACGCATCTCCAAATTAATACAGAATTTATTTTATTTTTTAAGATTTTTATGTCAATCCCTTGTGGGTGATTTTGGCTACTTCCCGTTTTTTTTAGTCCAGACTTTTATACAGTAGTTTTATGTTTCTGACGAAAATCCTTTCATATAAAATGTCTTATAATTAGTTAACCTTTTTATACCCTTGCAGAGGGTATTATGATTTCAGTCAGAAGTTTGCAACGCAGTGAAGGAGACGTTTCCGACCCCATAAAGTATATATATTCTTGATCAGCATCACAAGACGAGTCGATCTAGCCATGTCCGTCTGTCCGTCTGTCCGTCTGTCCGTCTGTCCGTCCGTCTGTCCGTCTGTCCGTCTGTCTGTTTCTACGCAAACTAGTCTCTCAGTTTTTGAGCTATCGGGATGAAACTTTCCCAAAAGTCTTCTTTCTATTGCAGGTAGTATATATGTCGGAGCCGACCGGATCGGACAACTATATCTTATAGCTCCCATAAGAACAATCGGAAAAAAAAAAACTTTAAAAAATTCTAGCTTCGGTGTTTTTTGAAATATTACCTTCTACTTTTGGGGATGTTATTTTTTAAATATTTCTGAATTTCGAATTAATTTTTTAAAAAATCGGACTACTATATCATATAGCTGCCATAGGAACGATCGGAAAATTAATGGAAAAGTAATAGGAAATAAATTCTAGCTGCCATAGGAACGATCGGAAAATTAATGAGAAATATTAGAAAATTGAACATTTTTGCGATTTGTTAATTAATAGGAATGATCTGCAAGGGTATATAAGCTTCGGCTGGCCGAAGCTAGCTTCCTTTCTTGTTTTATATTTACCTTATCATAAATTATATATTTAGTAAATATTATTTACAATTATTTTGTTGAAGGTATTTTTTTTTTGAACTTGGTTGAAAAGAGTATAATTAATTGTGTTAATGTGGACCTAAAGAAATGGATAATTTTTTTTTGTAAAGGAACCTAAAAAGCCAAATTATTTATTTATTTAAAAAAACGATGCTATAAATCCAAATATCAGCATAAAATATATGATAATCTATATTTATTTCCCAATTTTTATCATTTTTTCCCTGTGTATTTCTAAATAGCCCCTGGTGCTGTCGAAGGCTCGGCTGTTCAAGTTCATAGAGCCGCAGAACCTGCCTGAGGAGCTGGGCGGCACCTTGCAGTTCAACTACGATCTGTGGCTGCAGCAGCGCAAGGTAAGAGCCCCAATTTCCATTCGAACGGCAAATAATGTCTACAAATATATTCACAGTCCATCGACGAGTTTACCAAATCGCATGTGCAGACTTTGGGATCGATGGAAAGGCTGTTGGCTCTGCTGAGAGAGCACAAATCTCTGCGGCCGGCGGAAGCGGATGTGGAGCTGAAGAAGTGCGCCCAGCTGCATGCCGGTGTCCAAAACGACATAGAAACGGCCATCGACATGGGTGAGTCGAGTTCGTGGCTCGAGTCTTTTGTTTTTTGAGTCGTTTTTGCTGTTTGGCTGCCCCAAGCAATTAACATAATTCGTTTTGCCCTCGAAGCAAACGAGTTGTCGGGAAAAAGACAGACAAACACACATGTGACAAGTAAATCATTGAATTTTGTGTGTGGTTTTCAATTAGAAATGCGCCACGTTTGGCAAACTCGTTTTTCGCGCGCCGTTTGTTGTCGTTTTTATTGTGGGTTGATTTTAACGGCACTGAATTTGATTGAAATAAAGGCCTACAGAAGGTCTTTTGGGTAGAAAAAACCGTTTTGATAAGTTTATATACAAATTTATAATGTTGAATAGGTTTTGTTTAGGCTAGATTTTACAATTGAGAATTGTTAGCAAAATATTGATTGATTGGAAAAGAACAAACTTTTCATTAACAGGTTTTTAAAAAATTACTAAAAAATGTTTATAAAAACCTGTTTTTGATAAGTAAAGAGTCAAAACCTTTTCTGGCTTCATTAAGTTATTTTCGAGAATCATTTGCGGTTTGAGATGATCATCGTGCCCTGGGCAAACCGTGTTTACAGAACTCACTGTTCACACTTCAATTCCCGAAAAACGACTTCAAATTCGACCGAATTCTCATTCGATTGCGTGGGTTTGGCAACACAAAAACGACAAACGTGACCTTTCACTTAAAGCCACAAAAGTCGGTGATGCGCAACGAAATGGTGGCACATGCCACAGTCCAAAGAGCCAGGCACAGACTCGGATTTTAAAGCCTCTCCGGGAATGAGGTTTCACTTTTGTGGATGTGTGAATAGCGATAGATCTGATTCCCCCGCAATGAAAGGCCTAAGTACACTGTAAGAAATAAAAACTTAAGTGATTTCAAGTTATAAATTAAATTGTTTGTTTTTGAAACATTTTAAAGAAAAATTGTGAATTAAATCTAAATAAAATAGAGAATAGAGAATAATAGAAATGAGTAATTCAAAAATAAAATAGAGAATAATTCGCGAATTTTTCTAAATTTTGGAATATTTAGTTTTGGCAATATATTTTTTTTATTTTGCGTCACAGTTTTCCAAAATATGTTTTAAATTTCGAAAATACAACATTATCTTCCAATCAATGCGGAATTTTTAAAAATGTATGATGAATATTTCCATTGGGAGCATTATTTCAAACATGTTAAATAATTTCAAGGCCCAATATATTTTTCTCACTGCACATTTCTCAACCCCTTTCCCTTTTCTCTTCTCTCTTCGACTCTATTGCATTGTGCAGGTAACGCGATCTTGGCCCGCTTCAACGAGGTCTACGAGACGCATTCACCGCCGCCACAAGCGGTCGCACCTGCCTCGGAGTCGCCAGTGAACGCCCACCCCCCGCCAATGCCGGCACACTCCGCCACTGGAATTCCCCCGCAGCAGCAGCTGAAACCCCTTTTGCCACCCGATCTCGTCTGTGAACGTGCCCGCATCGAGTTGCGATTGAATGAGATCGAGAAGAAACAAACGGCCATTCGAACGGCCTGGCTGGAATTGCTGAGATCTCTGAGGGAGGCACGCGAACTCGGCACCCTGGAGGAGGGGGTGTCCTTCGTCACCAACTGGATCCTGCAGCAGGCGGAGCAGCTGCTGAGCCGCCAAAGGAGCATTGCCGGCGATGTGAGGGGCTGTGAGGCCCTGCGATCTGCCCATGATCAACTGGAACTGGAGTGCCGGGAAACCTATGGTTGCTATGCGGAGTTGCTATATAAAATCGAAAGATTCGCCGGAGAGAGGCAAGCATCTCCAAAGGACAAGGATCTTTGCCAGGATCTCCTTTCGCAGAGGGATTTCATGCAATTTGTGTGTCGTTCCTTTGCGAAGAGATTGGAGAGAAGGAGGAACGTCCTCATGACCGCCTTGAGGTTCCACCGACTCCTCGAGCAATTCGAGGAGCTCCTGACCACTGGGAATCATGTGGTAGAGGTGGACAGTCGATCACTCGATTGGCCCGAGGCAGAACAGCTACTCATGCAGCTAAAGGAGAACCAGGAAATGTTGGGTAAGTCTGGAAATATTAAAATTATATTTTTAATGATTTTATTTTAAAAGAAATTATTGGATAAAATATCACGATTTCAAAATTAACAATAATGTTATTCATACAACCTTGCTAACCCAACCTAAACTTTAGCCATCGAACCCTGACAAAAATATGCTAAAATTGCTCTGATAATTATCATAGGAATGACAAAATAAAGTACAGCAAACTGACAACTTTTAACAAATATATTACCCAATTGTCACGCTTTCAAATTTCAATGATAGTACGAGAAAAAAACACATTTAAGATCTACTTCAACTCAAACTGAATATATACAATACTGTGATGGAGATTACTAACATCGAAGCGATATATTTTTCTTTACAAATTTTATTTTAGCATTTTTATAAAACTACAGGCTTTCTATAGCTATTCGATTAGTACAAAAATATTTCATTTCAACATTCCACAAATCTCTAAAATACAAGTACATATTTCTTTCAACTTTTTTTTCATATCCTAATAATATTTCTAGTAGCAATATCAATAAAAATATGTTCCAACTCAAACTGTAAATATAGCATCGAACCGATCTCTGTTCGCGCTATATGCAACATCCAACCGATTTCTAAGTTTTCTGTCCAACATCCACAATCCACAGGCCACGTCGAGCGCGAACTTGTGCGTGAAGGTGAAAAGCTGAGCGACATGCTGGCGATGCCGGTGAAAGACGCTCTGGGCCGTGACCTCCAGCTGGACTACAGCCCCGAGATCGCCCAGCTGCGGCGGCAGATCGACGAGAGCAGGCGGCGGCGTCAGGTGTGCTGGAGTCGGCTGGCGCTGCAGCGGCTCACCTTGGAGCAGGTGACCCACATCCATGCCTACGAGGAGGACGCGCGGAGGGCGAGGGACTGGCTGCAGGAGCTTTATGCCGTCTTGCTCAGATGCCACTCCCATGTCGGCTGCAACATCCACGAGATCCAGCTGCAGAAGGACGAGCTGCAGGGGTTCGAGGAAACCGGCCGGGTGAGTTTTCCCCTCTTTATTTTGGTCTTTTATTTTTTGGGGGAACTAAGTTGGAGAGACAGAGAAAGGGAGAGCCTGTTTGGCTAACGGCAGAGTGACCGATAAAACATTAAGTGCCAGTCGAATTTTCTGGCGGAAAACCAAGGCCTCAGTGCGTTGATACAAGGTTGCCCATCTGGATTTCCATCTGGCCCATTACCATTAAATGTTTTATTCTGTATCAAAGCAATGAAATATATTTTATTTTCGAAGGGCTCTTAAAGTACTTGGAAATATTAATAAAGAAAAATCTTAATTACTTCAGTTATCTATTCTTCTTATGATTGAATGTTTTATTCAATATCAAAGCACTGAAAATATAATTTTAATGAAATGTTGATTTTTTAAAAATATTTTCTCAAAATTTTTATATTTCGGGAATATATTTTAAATCTAATAAAACAATTAAAATGTAAATACAATAGTCAATAGTTTACATTTTGTTTAAATATATTGCATTATACACATTTTTAAAAAGTTTTTTAATATATCATTTACTAAATATTTATCAATAAAAATTAATATTTTAAAATTTATTTTTCTACAATCTTGCTGCTCTAGAGCATCTACCACTATGGCTGCCAGTTGCTGGAGGCTTCCCAAACCCTGCGGCTCTGTTGCAAGTTGGATCCCGCAGCATCCAGGTCACAATCCAATCTCGGCCAGAGTTTGATAAGTGATGAACTGCAGCTTACTTGGCACAGTCTGCAAGCTGTGGCCCAGGAGCAGATGACCAGACTGCGAGTCTCGGCCGTTTTTCATCGCAGTGTAGAGGCCTATTATCGACAGCTGAGGGAACTGCGTCCACTTTTGACCCAGGAATTATCCGCCCAATTGCAACAGCAACAAAGACAGCAGCACAATCGCAGTAGCAGTGGAATAAGTAGCGATGCCGAAGGAGAAATCGAATCTGAGCTATCTCCACTGGGAGAAATGCCTCCGCGTTTGCAGCGCCACCTGGTGGCCAGGGAGCAACTGCTGGTCGAAGTGGGAAGAATGGTCAGATTGGGAAGACTGCTGAAGAAGCGTCTCAAAGAGCCCTTCGTCTTGGATGCACTGACAGGAAAGAGGTGAGTGAAGTTCAAGTGAATTATAATCGTTAATAGGTTGCAGTGGCAGTTGCGTGAGTGCCTTGGACTTCAACCCTACAAATCGGCGGCTACTTCATTATGCTCAACGCATAGAACTCGGTGAAAAAATAACAGCAAAACGTTCTGCATATCAACTAAAACATGAGAAAGATTTTCACTCAAATCCCACGAGTTCGCGGCAAATTAACTAGAGGCAAAACAAAAACGAAAAAAACAAGGAACTAACAAGTTGCTAGAAATAAAACTAAAAGAAATGATAAATGGGAATTGAAATGTATGAAAAATCAAACTAACTTGAAAATACGCTTTACAAAAAATAAGGAAAATTTAAATAGGCAGAAATATAAAAGGAAAAACCTTAGAATATATAAAAAAACATGTTCATATATTTTAGAAAATATATTTTCGAAATTAATTAACGTTCAAAAATCATTTTCATATTTTTATAAATAATACGATGATAGGGAAAAATTCTGTTTATATTATTTTAAACACGTGTACAACACCTACTAAATGTCTCCATAAAATTGAACATAATTAAACCAATTTGTAGACATAAAAAGGCCCATCAAACCCCTCAATAATTCCCAAGTAACCGCAAACTAGACGGCCAAAAATAATTTTTGACAGAATGAAACAAATGTCAAGCGGCCGCCACGCACTCAAAAAGTTCCACCACCCAAAAGTCGAAAAAAAGGCTAACAAAAATATTGAAATAAAATAAAAGAAGAAAATATAGAAGATCATTCGGCGTCCAAATCCAAGTAGTCTATTTCAGTGCGTGGTCCAGTGCGGTTCGTCGTTCGGTCCCCTTCCGATTTCTCAGTCTTTCGGTTTCTCGGTTCGGAGCGGGAGATTTCAAGACAACTCAACTGTCAGTTTGTCAAATTAATGGAACACTCGGAAAGAAAATATATATTTAGTGTATACTATATGAGATAAAGAGTGAATTTCCTGGAGAACATTCGTGACAAGTGGGTCAAAGTGGGGAGCATTGTGATAGGAAGGTGTTAAATATAGAAGTGTCGTCTGCATAGTAGCCCACTCTCGATTTCTTTTCGCTAATCCCCGCGCAAAGTGAATAATTGAATCCACAATTATCAGAGAGACATAGCTCCCTTCAACTGGCCACTAGCCAAAAGCGTGTTGAAGCGTCTTACGTCAAACTAATTGTTCCCAGACCCCAGTCCCCAGAAAAACCAGCAAAAAAAGGAGGCGCCAGCTTGAAAAAGCTCGAAAATGTTTGCCAGATTTCGTAATTTGTTTGCCAAATCAAAGGGCGATGAGGAAGTAACCCCCGAAAGGCCGGAAGTGCCCAGCATTGTGGTGGATGAGCCACCCAATGAGGTCGAGGAAAGTGAAAGTAAATCCCCAAATGTGGCCGTAGAAAATCAGGCTAATACCTCTGCTCCTTTGGCCAGCGAAGAGGAGGATTTGGCCCGGAAGCCCCATGAGATCCTAAGTGATTCCTCTAGCGATCTAAGTAGACTTTTGGAGGCCATAAATGAGGCCAGCAAACTGCCGGAAGTGAGTAGTGAAGATACGCAGGGTGAAGATGAGGATTACGAGGACGATGATGATACGGCCAGCACTTCGAGTGTCAAGACCAAGATAGCCAAGGCCTCGATAGAAAGGGATATTATACTAGAGGAAACCCTAGAGGAAGATGAGGAGGAGGATGGGGTGGATGAGGTGGACGCGGGGCCACCCCTCAAAAGTCTGGATAAGATCAAAGCCCTCATACGAAATGATAGTGAAACATATCCGCAGAGCGACTATACCGATAATGAAACCCCTTCGCATTCACGCACTGCCTCTGTGGACTCCGGAGCCCCCGATAATCCCCGTCTTTCTGGTGATTTCAGTGTCGTGGCCGATGAATTGCCCTTGGATAGCAGTCCAAGTCCGTTGCATGATAGTGGAAGGACTAGTAGTGCTGGAAGTGAGGTGCCTGGAGAGGCTCCCCCACAAACTGTACAGGTTGTGCCCACTGGAAGCAACGAACTTGCCTGCGCTGCCATTTCCCATAAGTTGGGCGCCATTGCCGAGGTGGCCGAATCTTTGGATGCTGTCATCCGGGATGTCCAGCAGCAGGAGAAAGCAGCCAGCAATGGAATAACAAATGGCACTACGAGTCATGGTATCAAGAAACTGGGAAGCATCGAGGTAAGCTTAAATATGTTATATGGGTTAAGGTATCAGAACAATAAAGCAATTATATTTTATTTTTACACACACTAAAATGTTTAAAAAAATCGAAATGATGTAGATTTACCTATTATTCTTCTTTTATTTTCCAACCCGATTTTATGACTGCTTTTTTGTAATACTAAAATCTTTAAAAGAAATCAATTAAATTATGAAATAAATCAAATAATCAATTAAATTAAAAATAATATATAATATTAAATAAATAAAATAATATGATATTTATCTTTACCTTAGGACTGGCACTCCCGATCCACCGAGGACGAGTCCTTCGCCACCGCCTCCGAGGGCAACTTCACGCCCAACTCGCACTCCTCCTCCTTCCAAACGGCCTCGGGAAGGACTAGCTCCTACATAGGATCCGCTAAGAACTCCTTCGACGAGGCGGATGACTCCACATTGAGCACCTTTGAGATACCCGAACTGCCACAATCCCCGGTCAACATGTCCTTCGACAGCTCCGAACTGAGTTACTTTTCGGCGCGACAGCAGAGGATGAAAAGTGAGGATCAGGATAGTGTGGTGGGCGTGGCAGAGTTGCATAGTCAGAGTGTGACGCCCACGCCGGATGATGAGGAGCAGCAGCATTTACTACTGCCACTTCCCCTGCCACAGGCCATCGAATCGGATTCAGAGGTGGAGGGATTCAATTTGGCCACTGGGATTACGACGGAGACAGGACCAAGGATCTCGAATGCCCACACGCCGGAGGTGAGCTACCGATCTGGTGATACCGCTAATACCGCTCCGACTTCAACTAACCCCAACGAATCGAAACCGCCGACGTCCTGGCGACGCAGTAAATACTACGAGAATATAACGAAACAAACGATCAAGGGATTTTTGTAGATCCGGACCACCTGTCCCACCTGAAAGAATGATTTCCCGCCCAATTAACCCGCGCCATTTGCTTCTCTGCCGCTGCTCGACATTCTTGCCATTAATTAGTTGGCATATTATTTTTGATGTTTTCCCCACAACTTATTTTAGCCTATGAGCTAAAGGTTTTTTCTCTGTTTTGTTTTGTTTGCTAATTTACTTTGCATGATTGTTCACTGTTTTATTTTGGCTTTAAAAATAATATTCTTATTTTATAATTATTTTTCAAATTTGTTTCGTGTTTACTTTAGTTTTTCTCCTGCTTTATAACTATTTAGTAACTTTAATATTTATTTTGTTAGTTGAAATTTATTTAGTTTAAGGCTTGCAAAATTAGAGAATTCCAAAATGCTTACATGAAATATAATTTATATATCAAATATGTAATATAAGAAATTTTAATTCAGTCACAGCCAGTCGAAATTTTTGCCATTAATTGTATGTTTAATATTTATTTTTAACTATTTCTCCCCACACAGTCACAAAAAATATAGTGCAATTAATATTGGAAAATGTTTTACCCCAAAAATAAAGCTAATCATTCAAAAATTCTCTCCATAACTTATTAACTTTTCAGATATTTTATTTTTAAGTTAACAAGTAAGTAAAGGGGAAAATGCCTGAAAAAACATTGCATAACTTTAGGCTGGAGTCGAAAAAAATCATTGCCATCATCTGCACTTAACCCTTGAGTGCTCTTTGGGACTCTTTTCACCCTAAATAATTTTTGTTGAATATTTTTCTCCGTGGGTGGCCCTTTTCTAAACATTTAACAAGTGGTCCTCAAGTGATTTCAATTATCTGAAATGTGAACTGTCAGTGGGTGAAGCGGGGAAAATGGGGTTAAGAGGGGCTGGTTGCTCACTGAAGTGGCTCATTAATCTCAATTAAAAACATATAAATAAAATGTTCCCAGTGTGATGAGTGAGTGAAAAGAATTTATTCTCAACGAGCTGATCATCCAGAAAGGCGAACCGAATATCTATGAGATTCTTTTCATGCCATTCGAACAGATTTCGTGACTTAATGGCGCTGAAAGAATAATTTGATAAGTTCCACAACGATGATAGCGAAAAATAATAACTTGCAAGTGGAAGGTATTGATTGCATGCGATGGATATTTTGCACGAAATGGCAAACCAGAGTTAAAGTCAAGCTTCAAGACACGCATTTTGGGTGAAAAATACTCCATAAATTGAGGGATATAGTTTCATATCATGGGAGGTGAGGTTGGGGGCTTGAAATGCGGGCGGTCAGTTTGCTTTCTATTAAGACACGATACCGTCTGGTTTCCCTTGCTGTTCTGGTGTTGTAATTTTGCTCTTCCTCTCTTCACTCTGTTATTAAAGTACCAAAGCTGCACTTGAATATATTGTGGTTTGGAGTACCCTTTCTTATAAGAGGTGTATAGGACCAAAGAAGAAAAATTTAAAGTATCAGTAAAATAAGAAATATTGTAAAAAAATAAAATAAATTCAATTATGTTAGATTAGAATGTTAAAATAAGATTCTTTCGTGCATTTTTTTTTATCATTTTCTGTATCTTTTAACTTTGTTTCATTATTCCTAAAAATCATATTTGTTTTGCTGAGTTTAAATGGGCTGCCAATCACAGGGTATGTACTCCTCTATTCCTTTTTTCCTTCATAAAAATCCCCTTTATACCGCCCCATACCTTTTGTTGGTATTGTAATTGCTGAAAAGCCGGGCGCAGGGCATTAAAAATTGAAATCATGAATTAACGACGCCGCGAATGCCAAGAGCACTTGTTTATTTATGTCGTCTCCAAAGCCCCTCTTCTGCCCTCTCTTTCTACCGAACACTCTCTTTCTCTGTCACACACTCTCTGCTCAAAATTAAAGCCGGCTTTTTGCAAAACTGAGCTTAATGAGAGTCAAGAGATCAGCAAAACAAGAGAACTTAACTCTATAAACTGAGCGAATCGGTTAAAATCTTCTGTTTCTCTTTCTCATCTCTGCTGCTGCCCGTAGAATCTGCTCAGTCTTCGGTCTGCGGTCTTCAGTCTTCGGAACTTTGGTCAGTCTTGTTCGAAGTTCGCGGCGTTCGGTTGTTTGGCTGCTTTTTAAAGAGCGGCGCGCGCGTTTTAATTTTCCACTACTTCTCCTCCGCTCGAATAATGTGCGAATAAAAACATATCTATGTAAATTAAGTTAGGCAAAAAAAGAAAAACGAGGAAGAAACAATAAATTTGGCACTTCAAAAGCGAGGAAAAAAACGAAAGCTAATCAGCCATAATTTAGCCAGAACATTTTTGACATTCAAAAACGCTTGGCGCTAGTTTTTTTGTGCTCTCCTCGTCTGAAGATGAAATCAACAAAGTGTGCTAAATTTATTGTTGTTGTCAAATATTCTATACTGTGGCGACCCTCAAAATACAAAACAAAATGTTTAACAAATAGAAATCGACACAAAATGCCCGCATATTTTTTTAAAAATATTCGCTGAGTTGATGCATTGAAAAGCGTATTTGTTTTGAGTCATGTGCATTTTTCGTTTGGCTTTTCAATATACTAAAAGGTCCACGCCCCAGAAAATTTCAATCATCGTCTTTCTTTTCTTTTTTTTTGGACAACAACATATGGAAGCCAAGCATTTCCTCAATTGTGCTACTGTAAACTTTTATAAAAGGGAACTTGCTCTTCCCAATTTATTTCTGTTTTATTTTTAGCCAGCGCCAAAGTACAATTAAAATAGTTTACATTACGCCAGCAATGGCGGCGACTATTAAAAATTGGGAGAAACGCCGAAAAATTACCTAATAGAGGCAGCTGGGTGCACACGACGTATGCGTAATGTGTTCAAAAATATACATAATGTATTGAAAAGTCCATGAAAGCTGACAGACTCCTGCCAAAATGCAATTGGCACATGTTGCAGATCTGACGTACATCCGTCTGATTTATCTTTTCCTATATGCTGTAGTATCTGTATCTGAAGCATCTGAGTATCTGGGCTAGAACAACAGTTTAGCTTGGCAAAAAAAATTACTCAATAGTTTGTTGTTTTAAAAATAAACGCGAATCGAGCATTGTCTTTGGGTTCGTTATTTTTTGTGTTTTTCTACAACGAGACTAGCACACGCATCAAAGGCAATTTTCTCAGGCTCAATATGCAAAAAGTACACACGATTCTCTCGGACTATATAGCTGCGTATATATAGACACTATGCCATAATAAACAGGCACTAGAGCGACAGGGAGAGCGCGAGTATGAAGTCATAGCAAAATAAGAATTCTCCGTTTCGAAAACCAACCGATTCGCAGAGGTTCTCAGACGATCGCCGGCGTTGATAGCGATCGCAACGAAATCGAAACGATCCCCAATAAATTTTTAACGCGAGTGACTCAATTTAATAGTTCTTTACATTCGAAACAGAGTTCAAAATGCAAAACACGCGAAATAAGCAGGGGAAATAATAGAAACCAATAAAAAACTACGAGAAAAACTAAACGACAGAGATTAAAAACGCCCACGCAAAATAGCACACAAAAATACAACAAGCACTCAAGCTCAATTCTCGAAAGTTAGTGGGAAAAAGCCACCATGGAACGCCGCCAAGCCCTAGACTCATCGATGTCTTCGCTCTACTCGGTCGCCTCCTCCTCGAACCCAAATGCGAACCCGAATCCCAATCCCCGTCTTCAACTTCAAACGCAGCAATCTCAGCAGTCGCAGCTAGACGCCTTCAATTATTCAGCAACAATGTCATCATCGTCGCCGACTCCGAGTCAGGCCATGTCCACAGCCATGTCCACGGGAACGGGAACGGGCACCACCCACATCACTCCACCAACCTCCTCGACCACCTCCTCATCCCTCAGAGCCACCACCATCGGCACCGTTGTCGTCCGCTGCGGACCCATCCAGCTGGTGATAGCGCTCCTACAAGTGAGTTGTACTCTTGTATTCGAGTAAACAAAAAAAGATACAAAAAAATAGTAAAACTAAAACAGGGAAAAAAGTCCAAGAAATGGGAAACAAACATGAAGAAACATTTATCTAGATACGCCAAGGAGAAGTGTTCGCAGAACGGAGAAAGCTCTCTTGAAGTGCGCGAAAATTTATGCGGAAAGCGATCTGGGAGGACTTGGGAAGAGATTTGGGACATGGCATCGGGAGATCTTGAATAAATCATAAAGCTAAGAAAAACTAGGAAGCACTTCGTTAGGTGGTAGATTGACCAAAAGAAATGGCTTTGGCTGACATTTATATTGGTTAGAAAATTAAATATTTACATAGGTGAAGGAACCCCAACTGAAAAACCACTAATAGTGATATATCCTTAGGAAGTTCTGTAAAGCAATTTAAATATATAGCAATAGAAGGACTTAAATAAATACTTATATTGTAACACTAAATCAGGTATAAACTTAAAGGTTTATATTCTCTTTACCTATTTTTAAATATCTAGATTCGACCTTTACCATTAAAATGATTGTCATATATAATTATAATCCAATTCTACTATGGATTACTCTATAGAAAATCTCTACATCAATTATGCCTGTCAAACAAAAACATGACCTTTCTCCAATACAAATGAGATAATCATTTGAGTGACGACATAATCTTCTCCGTAATAAATATTGATGAAACGTTTTAATGGAGCTATATATTTTTGTATACCTATGTATATACTTCAACTTGTCTGGGCTGTTAAAAAAGTTGTTCTGAAACACCAAAAAATCATTACACGAGATATTTTATCTCAATTTCTTATCAAAAGAACGACTAATCAATTGACTTAAAATCAACAGACGACCATTCTATAATTTTCCAGTCTCTAACCTATCATTAATATATTATTGATCTGTAATGTCCTACCTTAATTGATAAATTCCTATAATAATAATTATAATTACAATTATCCAATCCCATTACCTCCATCAAGTGATGTGGTCGCGACCCACCCCCTCGAGGTCTAGAGCAGAAAACTATGTGACTTTAGCACTGAAAAATTCATGAACTTCTAATGCCCAAAACTGGTTTACTGTTTTCGATTGTTTAAACTTTAAACCGGCTTCCCTCGATTTCCGCGCCAATTAGCACTCCAAAACAACGAAAGCAAAAGTCGTTGATAGCGGGTTTAAATATTTGAAAAGCGGCAGCAAACGCCACAAAAAAGGTTCAAGGTTGTCTGACATCAGAACACAAGAGATACAAGATATAAGACACACAAAAAGCCAACTAAACGTGACAAAAAGAAATGTATCTGCCAGATACTTTCGACAATTAGGCGCAGCTGCTACCTGTCTGGGTTTCATTTCTGTTTCTTAAGAGAGAAACTTTATTTGGGTCTTCTCTGCAGAATGGAACCCCCTTTTATACCTCCCCCTTTTCATCTCATCCGAACTTGAAGCTGCGACTTGAACTTGAGATTGAGAAACATTTCTGATGAAGCGCTACAAGTTTTATGCCCCGAAACGAAAAAAAAAACAAAGCAAAGGCGAACATTCAATAATTATAGGCAGAGCATCGGTTTATATGGTTTTTACCCCTTTTTTTGCGGCCCCAACTTTTCTGTTCATTCAACCAGCGGGCCATTGAAATTTCAGTGTGCCAATTTTTTTTTTTTTCTCTCTATACAGAATAATAATTTTATGAAACTCACGGGGCTCCATGTGTTAAACATTTAATTTGATTTACCACTTTTTTTCCTCTCCCCTGAGTTTTTGATTCTGGAAATTATGCAAAAACATTTCACTTGGCGAGCCTTTCAACACGTTTTTCCGATTTTAATACATGCTCGCACTCGTCTTTCCTTGAATTGAAAATAAAAACTCAGCGACCCCAAAAATATACTGATTTCTTTAAATTTCCGCTGGCCTGCTTGGATACAAAATTCAATTTGATTTTTCGGGATCGAAAAACTAAAATGTTGCTTACCTGTCGTTGTTGTTTTTGTTGTTGTTGTTATACTCGAACTGGTCCCAAAAAATGCTGTTGAAAATAAACAAGAGCGTCGATTTCTCTCACAGGTTCTCTCTCAGGTAAACAAATTAGCAACGAAACAGAGCCAAAAAAAAACTGAAATAAGAACAACAAAAGAGTACAAATAAATACACAATATTCCACAATAAAAGCCAGCAGATGTACAACAAAAACACAAAAGGAAAAAAAGAATGAAACAAATGTATGAGCTAAAAAAATGTTCGATGAGCTCAGCACGGTATTATTGTTATAAATTCCACGTGGGCGGTGGGCGATTTTTTCTTAAAGGGGGTAGGGAATAAGGCAGCGGAAGTTCCTTAAACTTTATGCTTTAGCATGAGATTAAAGAAACAATAAGTTGGAGGAACCGAAACCCCCTTCATCCCTCGGCTGTATGCTGAAACTATGCAAATATGTCAAAAGTTTCCTTCCTTTCTGGGTTTATTTTTCCGAAACAGGCAACAGACAATTTTTTCGGTTAGTTTTCTTATACAGAAAAAAAACTAGAGAAATAATAATAACAAGTTTGCAAAATTTATTTTTACTGCTTGATAAGAAAGATGTATGTTAGGATTGGATTTTAATTTTATTTTTAAAGAATTTTGTAAAATATTTTATCAAAAATATTTTACTTCTAATTCTCTAATATTTTAATATATTTTTTCTGTGTACCAACCCAACTGCAAAACAAAGTTGAGTTATTAAGATTTTGAATGTTAAGTGCTGGCTGAAAATATGAATATCTGCAAAGTTTTGCGTGGCACAATGCGATTTTGTGGTGACTACTTGAATGACATTTATTTGCCTGTGAAAAATGGTTGAGAGCTATTTCGTTGAAAGCAAAGTTTAAAACATGTGGTAAGTTCCACAAAATCTAAGAAACTCCCTAAGAATACCCAACATACCCAAAACACATTGTCTGTCAGCAAAGCGTTTAATTGGAACTTTATCTCCATGGGCAACCTAACTCATCTTGTATTAAAATCGCCCTGACATGATTTACATATAAACTCTTTGGTATTTCGGCCCCACCCAGAGGTAATTATCCAAAAAGCAGCAAACCAGACCATATACCATTCAACTTCTTGGCCATCCGGGCATCAATCTCAATGGATGATTCGTCTTTTGGCTCTGACGCAAATTTCGATTACAATGTTTGTTGGTTGATGCAACACGAAAATATTTACAAGTGTTTGAAAAGGGGAAATGAATGTTTTCTGGGCCTGGTTACAAAACGTCTCTCGTTTTATGTGTATGTTCTGCTGGCACTGAAAATGAAAAATTAACTTCAAGGCAATTAAAAGGCTGAAATAAACTGGAATGGAGAAACTTCAAAGGCAGAGGATTTACATATTTGTTTAGCCAGAGTCTCCGCTCTCTAAATAAATAGATTTTCCGTGTAAATGTGAAGCGTGCTGAAGATCTCTGTAGATCTCTTTTAATTGAATCTAATGCGCGAAACTAATTTGGATTTTTTTTGTTGGTTCGGAAGTAATTGGGGCGCGACTGTCGACCTGGATTTTGGTTTTTAGGATTTTAGATCTTGGATCTCCGATCGAGATTTGCTCTGATTTGCACACACGAAAAGGCGCCAGCCGCAGAAAACTCTAATTGAATTTATGGCCAGTTTCGTTTGTAAAAGTCGCAGCTTTTCACTCATAAATTGGCCAGACATATGAGCATGTACTTATGCCCGGCACTATACGAGTTATGTGCCATTGCCTACGGGCCTTTTGGCGTGGGTGAAACGCTGCAGCTGCGCACTGAAAAAGATGGCATTAGGTGTAATGAAAGAGACGAGCGATAGAAAGCAAGCCGCACCAAGGCTCAAACTCAAAAGAAAGAAATGTTTACGACGCTTGGCAGGCACATAAATTTACGCATGAAAAGCTTGAGCATTCCGCCCGCTTGAAGAAAGAGCAAGTCTCTTCGCATTTTGCAAGAAACTGTGACTTTGGTTCAGATCTGCCATGCAGTCACGTGATAGTGATTTGTCACTGTGACTTATGGGTTTTGGTTCGAGGGAAAAGGTTAGGTTTTGTCAAGTTAAAAAAATAGTTCAAAGTTAATCAAAGTTGGGGATGACTCACTTGCACATTAGTAAAGATGTCGTGACTTTAAATTGAAATTTAATTACCCAATTATTCCTTACTTATATATTAGTTTTAATGTCATTACTAAAATACAAAATAATTGTTGTAGATTTTTTATTTGTTTTTAGTTTTATTTAAAAACATTTAAAAAACTGTTACCTTTTTCTCCACAATTTCATCCCCAGTTAAATTTCAAAATTATAAGCCATCCCACATATTCCAAGTCTCTGAATACAATACCATTATACTCCCTTATTTTATGCCAGCTCCATTCATTATTTTTATAGGCCACTAACTTTTATAAGATGTTTTGATCTAAGTAAATACAGCCATAAAAAGAAGACTTAAATCCACGCCCAAAGCTGGCATACGCAAATAATTTCGACGAGGCCACTTCTTCATCCATCGACCATCGGCGATGGCGTGTCACGGGGAATAGGCCGTAAATCTTATCAGTAATTGAAAAATTCCAGCCCTAACTGACAGTATCCAACACTTGGAGCTGGCTAGTGTGAGCTGGTGAGTGTCGTCAGCGTTTTTCGAGCGCTAAAAATAATGTATTCTATGCGCAGACGCAGTCGCCTGTCTCTTTGCCTTTTGAGTTCGGTCTTTGGGTTCGGGATTCAGATATGGTTAGGATATGGAGGATCGGATTGGAGTAGAGGGGACTGCGGACTGAGATCCACTCGAAAGCCGACTGGGGATATGCTGTCTATCGGTGGATATAATGCAGCTGCTACTTAGCGCAACTGACAAAACAGTTTGGCACGCACTGATTGATAAGCAAGGAAAGCGGTCTTGGAAAAATAAGTGGGAAAAAGGGGATTTTCGGGGAAAAAAAGATGAGGAGCAGCGACCAGTCGGGCATAAATTTGCCACGCCAAAAAATACAGTGACCTCTCGTTAAAATTAAAATATCTTTTAATTTTATAAATATTTTGTATTTACAGATTTTTAATTTTTAAAATTTTGATTTTTAAAAGAATTGTAAACAGAATTTTTTTCCATCTAGGAACAGCTTAAAATTTCATATTAGGGACTAAAAAAGATCATTTAAATATTAATAAAATATATTTTAATGTAAAAACAAATATGATGACAATAATAATAATAAATGTTTTGCAGTTAATGTTGAGTAGATTTAAGTTTAAGTTGGTTTCTTTCAATAAACTATTAAATAAACCTGCTAGGATCAACCAAAAGTAAACAATAAAAATTCGTTTAAGTGCCCTCTTTCAAACCATTTATTAACCCATTAACGTATTTAATCGCCATGTTAAATGGGAAATTCTTGCATACACCCAATCTCAACAAACTGGCTGAACAAATACCCAGCAATTTCCGCTTTCCGGGGGTCCACTGTAGCACTGTGGAGCATCGCTGCATCGCAGCTGCTGTAATTACCGGAGTGGAAGCGACGGCTCGGCGGTTTTCGAGTTAGAGACGCGAAATATATTGCATGTTTACATGGCAACTGATAGTCGCCGATAAACGTTCAATGAAAGTTGCGCATTGCAGGCGGCGACTCCTGCTGATGTTGCTGCTGGGATGTTGCTGCTGCAACAGAAACAGTAGATGTTGCTGCTGCAGATGTTGCAGATGCGATCCACGAGTCGTGGCCAACAATTTGTAGAAACAATTATAGAAATTATCTTTTTGTTGGCTGCGAATTAAATTGAAATTTAAATTGCATTCGATGGCCGCAACAAGATTGCCCAATACGTGTACTCATAATTTTTTGTTTTTTCTCGGCTGGCCTGGGAAAGTGCGACCTACAAACAAAAACCTGAAAATTGTTTTATGTTTCGACGATGGATGGGTATTTATAGAACCCCAAAGTCTGACATCACTTGAGCGAACCGCTGATGATCGAGGCGAAAAAAGCACAAAACCCCAGCTAAATGAACAATAACAAAATATCAGAATGCTTTTTGCTGCTTTTTGTTTTATGACAAAATCGAGTTAAGTTTAATGGAGGCACAGAGCAAGCGCGTTAGAGCGTGCTATCCACACACACGGGAAAAAAGGTAAAAAAAGGTAAATTCAGTAAATTCATTTGCATATCGGTATATTTGTACAATACGTTAATGCTGTTTGCTCTCTATCAAATGGCTCACACACACGAATATTGATGCGGTTGCTTTTTTATTAGTCTGTTTATACAAACAACTTTTTATGGCCCCTGTGGCCTATGTTTGATCAGGAGCAAAACATACATATATGTAGTATACACGAGCATTTGATTTATGTCGCTTTAATTAGCCAATTTCAATTTGTATTCAATTAGCTCACCTTTATTGGAGCACTCGCAGCAGTCACAGCCACAGCCACAAAATGAAATTGTCGCAAAAAGACACACATGTGATCCGAAAATGTACCTAAATTGCATATTAATGAGTAGATGAGTGTGCCATTGGATTTTGGGTCAAGGTTGAATGATGAACTTTTAAGAGAAAAATAAACCACATTTTAATTTTCACAAAATGATTCACTATGTTGGGGGTTTTAAACTAATTATAAAGAAAAGATAAAATTGCAAGGAGGATAACAAAACGTTTTAAAATAAAACAGATTTTGTAAAGGTGTAAATGCCATTTTGTTGTGCTTGTAATACCTATCGAAGTGTAGAAGAAAATTTTAAAATCGGACCATTCATTAAAAAGTTATGAGCAAATAATGGAATACAAGCAGTCGATTTATTACTTGCATATCTTTATCTCCCTCGCACTCCCTTTAGCTTAGGCTCTCGGCTATAGCGTTCTCTCTTGTTTTTCTGGTACAATTTATTCTTATTCTTATAATTAAGTTGTCATCCTAGAACAAAGTTATAAAGATCTTAACCCATTTGTTAGATAACTCCAATATATTTATGTAATTTATCTTGAAAAGGATGCCATAACAACACCTTTCATAAAGTAATCTTTGCAAAATAAATCAGGTAAAACAAGCCAACGCCTCCGCAAATTGTGATTCCCAATTAAATCGGCGATCGGCATTCGGGATTACGTATACGTAGCCAATGGCCGTAATGAAAGAGCGGCTCAGAGTCCGGCGCTCTATAAAAATGCGCAATGATTTCACACAAAACGATAACAGCAGCGAACAAAAACAACAAGAACAACAGCATCGAGGTAATTTCATATCGAAATCGTGTTCTATCCGCTGCCGCAAAGTATTAATTTAAAAGCCAAAAACGTGTTTCACGCTAAGCGCCTCAAAGTGGACGATTGTAGCCCCCCATTGCCATCCTTCTCATCTGGATTATTCTATTCGATTTTGGTAGAAGTTTTGTATACCCTATAAGTTGCTAAATTACAGGATTAGAAGTAAAGAAGAAGATCATTATTATGTAGAATTTTGTTTAAAAAACGCAATAAAATAATCCTTCAAAAAACCATAGTTGATATTTAAGATCTATATTTATTATAATCATATAACCTAGTATCTTAAATTAAATAAAATCTGCTTTTTAATTCATGGAAAGTGGAGATATTCTGAAGAAAAGTCGAAGATTACCATTGTGATATGAGGTTTGGTATCATCAATATTTATTTTAACGCTCTCTAAAAAAGTTTATACTTTTTTTTACCTAATATTAATCTTATAGTTATTGTATGATCAAGCTTATTAGTATTAGATAGACAAGAGTACTTCAATCTTCGACTTTCCCACCTTACATTCCTTTCCTGGGTGTTATTGTTTTTGAACCGCCGATGGGGCTTTTGGCATTATATCATCGCCGTCTCTGCCGGGTCTCTTGCTTTCTTGGAGTGGGGTATAAAGCGAACACAAATCCTCCCACTCCCACTTGGCCACGATCTTTGGATTGGAGTACTTCCGCCATTCGGACCTGCAAACGAGTGCCAAACGAAGACGCTTCTAAATGTCCAAATGCATATTACGAATCTTAACGGCTCGGTGCGTGTTGGTGCGCCACTTGAAATACGATTCAATTTCGCAATGAGTGACGTATGTTTAGTGGGGGTGGGGGGAGGTTGGGGAGGCGCCCGTCGCCATATGCATAATGGTTTTGTTTTATGCTATATACGTACATAAAGGCTTAGTTATGGTCGGCCTGTTTATAGTGATGTCATGCCATTTATGGTTCATATTTCAGTTACTCGACGTGATTATTCCCCTCACTCCGCTGCCCCGTTACACTTGAAAATTTATTCAGATTTTCGAGAATTATTGGTAGATGCATATGTATCTGTGTATTGAAAACTCACTCACGTCGCATTGAGTCAGTGACTTCGACTGGTTTGCTTTTTTTATCGCTTTACATCGCTGCCAGTGGGGCACACAATTTATTTTAATAGCCGGGTTATTAATTTGTATTGTAATTGATTAATGGCAGTCGCAGATCAAGCTAGGAACCCTTGGAGCAACTAAATTGGATAGATACAGTAAAGCTTATATTAAAAGAACGGATTTGGGGATCATACAAAAATATTAGATGCCAAATAAGAATATTTGAGATACAATTTCTTAACTAAATTCTGCAAAAATAAATTCTTTAAAAATTCGTAGACATTATTCTTCGGTTTTCCTTTCAATAACTTTATACTTAGGCCATTTTCTTTTACCCAGGTTTGACTGTTTTTTACCTAAAACATTTTCGTTGAACAAATTAACGCCCACGCAGCTTTCCCTTCACATAAAAAACCCAAAAACCAGTGGCAAACCCAAAGAAGCAGTTTGTGAGCCATCTATCTGACTTTAGAGTTCGTTCTCCATGGTTCGCCATGGCATGTGGCACTTTTCCTCGACTTTTCCAGCTCCATCGACACATGCTCATCCTCATCCCAACAGGAAAAGCTAACGGATGCCATTACCATAAACAGCCGATGCTGACCTTCATTGCAATCAAACAGAGCTGAGGTTGTGGTGCCACTTCTGCTGTTTCTGTTTCTGCAGCCTCTTTAGATGCAGCTTCTGGTGGTGCTACCAAAATTAGAAGCTAGATATTGTGGTTCGGGAGCAGGTTTGGTCTTTCCCCCCGCGGCACGAGATCATCTCTCCTGGCCTCCGATGTCAAATGCGAACTGCGAGCCGCATGAATGGGAATGCAGACAGCTGCTGGGATCCCAGGAACTGGGGAACTTGGGAACTTAGGAACTTAGGAGGAACCCAGGAGGAACGTGACTGAAACGGATTTGGGGACAGGCCGAAGAATGCCGCAGAACCTTGTGGGAGAAACTCTTTGAATTGCTGGGGTCCTATGCGATATCGATAGGAAATGCGAAAATAAACAAACGGAATGTAGGTGATTTAGAAATATTGAACAATCGATTTTGTTGATAAAACTCACAAGCAAATTTACTGAAAAAGAATTGAAGGTAAAGAAAAATTAACCCTATTTATGAAAGCTATTAATTTTTCTTTTCATAGGGCTTTTTCATAAATAGGGCTATAAATTGGCAATAAGTTTTTTTTGTATTCTATGAATGTTATATTTTACGACCCGATGTATAAAAATAAAATATATTTTATTAAATATACGAAACTTTTAAATATTACACCATCATATCATCATATTTTAAAAGCAAAACCATCCATCATCTTATAATAAATTTCCTAAATCTTCCAGAGTCCTGAAAAGATCTACATCAAAGTGGTGGAACTGGAGCCAAAAATCACAGCTCTTGGCGAGAATCTGGATGAATCGGTGCGCATGCAAAGGGAGCACGATGAGACGCTCCGCAATTTACAGGTGAGTGAAGGCTACACCTCAGAAAAATACCTTTGTAATACCCTTTAAAAATCCATATTATAGAGCCTCCCCGGACCCATGGACGAGTTCGTCCAGAAGGCAGACAAACTGCTGGCCAGCAAGAGGATTAGTTCGGAACTCGTCAACGCCATGGCGGATACACTCAACATCATTTGGCAGGATATCCTGAATCTCCTGCAGGATCGTCAGCATCTACTGATACTCTGCACACAGTTTCACGACAAGATGACGCAGTGCTTTAGGAAGATGGATCAACTGGAATTGGCCTGCGAGGAGATCCTACATCCTCCTGATGTTCCTCGTGTTCAGGAGTTCCTAAACAGATTCAAGCAACTCAGGATAGATATGCTAACTGGAGTGATGGCTGCTTTGAAAGATGGTAATGAGCTGCTGGCTCAACTGGAGGAGTTGGAAAAGCTGGAGACCCTCGATACAAGACCAGAACACATTAAACGCGATGCCACGAGGGCGGTTCATCAGGTTCAGCAGTGGTTGGAGGCCCTGCATGATAGGAGGAATTCTTTAGAACTCGCCTGGCAGACGAGGAAGACCCAAATGGAACAGTGCCTGGCATTGGCTTTGCTGGGCAGGGAACTAGTCGATCTGGAGGCAGCCCTTCAACAGGCCCGAATGGAACTGAATACGATGTACAGTTTGGGTGAATGTGAGCACACTGCCAATGAAATGCTGACCAAGTACAGGGAATGGAAACAACAGGCCTTAGTCCTGCGAGATCGAGCTCTCAAGATCACGAGGGCTAAAGAAAAAGTGCAATCCGCTGGTCATTTCACCGAGGATGAGGCATGTGCTCGTGCCTACGCCGTTTTAAGTGGCTGCACGGAGCACTTGGATCTGGTGGATCAGCGGGAACACTGGCTTCATCAATCCAGGGAGTTCTTTGCCAAGGCCGAGCACACTTTGAGTGTCCTTGAGAAACTGGAATTGGAGCTTACGAGCGTTAAACTGCCACCTCATTCCCCCGAGAGCTATGCCATGTACTCCAAAGTGGACAGAGATGTTCGCCAGTTCACCGAGGAACCTTTGCGTTTGGGGTATGGCATCCTCGACGAAGTGGGAAGGACTCAATCGGAGACTCAGGGAGTGAAGAGAGTTCTGGATGAACTGGAGAACCGAAAGGTTTATATCCAGGGTATATGCGCTCACAGCAGCGAGGATCAGCAGAAGGTTCAGCGTGCTTTGAGTGAATTCCTCACCCATCACAACGAGCTTTTGGCCTGGCTAAGAGCCTCGGGCCAACTGCAATTGCAGCAGAGCGTGGATATGGGCAGAAATCTACAGCAGGCCAAGCAGTTCCTTCTCCAGCACCACGAACTCATGCAGGATCTAGAGGTGTGTGATTTAGGATTAAAATTTAGAAATTTAAACAAAAACTTAAGAAAAAAATGTTATTAAAAAGTGTTTTAAGAGAGATTTATATATATTTTTGTGGCAAACTTGACCGATACTTAACCTCGAGCTAGCTAAAATCATCCCACAAAGTAGATTGGTCTCCACAAATTAAGCAGATATTTTATAGTCAAAAGTCAGTTGTGTTAGGATTCCCTTTTTTGTATTTTGTATTGAAAAAGTGTCTTAAATCAAACTACCTATGAAATGAAAATCTGTATACAAAAATGATTGGAAACAAATTTTATGACCGAAATGCTTTATATAGAATTTCTTTACATATGTTGCTTAATTGAGGTGAGTTTTATCATTCCATTATAAAAATGTTGATATAATGGCTTTCATAATTCTTTAAAAGTGTAAGAAAATTTTTAAAATTATTGCACCATTTAGAAATATTTGCAAAAATCAAAAATAAATCTCAAAATTAATGACAAAAATCCCCTTGCTACCCCTTTAGATAAAAGGCGAACTGATCAACCTGCTGCTGGAATCCATCAAGGTTCATCTGGAGTCCCTGAGTCCACAGGAGCGCTACGATGTGGACTCCAAGGCGGAATCCCTGCACAAGCACTGGATCGAACTAAAGGATCTGGTACTGAAGCGAGTGGACTACGTTTCCCTGCTGATAGATTTCTTCGAGCTGGCCAACGAGCTCTCCAGCCAACTGGACAACATGCAGCGCCAATTGCAGCAGACTCCCGATGAACACAAACTGCAGTTCCTTCAGGCCACTTGGACGGGAATTGCAACCACCTTTGGCGAACTGAAGTCCCGCGGACAGCGATTCATCAACTTGAAAGTCGGTATCGGGGGAAGGGAAAATACCACACCATACATAAGTTATTTAATCTAAGTTCGAAGTTTTGAGGAATTCTCTAATGTCAGGGCGGCGCGCTGTTTGGTTATGCATGCTGCACTCTGTTTATGCTTCATCTGTTCTATGCTCGCAAACTTTGCTTTCGGAACAACTAACTGCTGACAGCTGGCGCATTTGCACGATGTCCATCAGCTTCTAGCTTCTAGCATCCAGCTCCCAGAAGCATTCTGCTGACGCTGCACAAACAATCGCGAAAAAGTTGGCCAAGATAGGGCATTCTGGGTAGGAAAGGGAGCTGCAGATGTGGGATATACACTTAGGAACATTTTGTATATACATTTTAAATTTAATCAGACGTTTAAATGGTAATTAAGAAAAAAAAAAAGGAAAAATGCCACAAAAAAAAAATTGCTGTGGTTTTTAGATTACCTAAAAAGTCTCTCAAAGTATGCAACAATATAGTTTTTATTTCTGTTTGAAATTTAATCAGACAGAAATCACATTTAAAAGTGTCCAAAAGTATTCAACACTATTTTTTGAGTACAAAAATACCATAAATTCATTCTTAAATACGACGTTCATTTTCGACTGCATACTTTGGGGCACCTTTAAAATTTCTCATAGTTGACAGGCTTTATCAAAGTTTTTTGGAAAAAACAATATAAATCCGCGAGTGTATTCCAGTTTGCAACTCCCCAGCTGTCCTCTATTTAAAAATTTTCGCATTTCGCCAGCCCGCTCGGGGCCTATAAATTATAAAGAATATGATTTGCTTGGCCATAAACATGTATTCAAAACGACAACGTCATTTCGCCCCATACGTGAACATAAAACCGGGAAGATGCGGCCGCAAACAGGCGCAGAAAAAAAAGAAAATTTTTGAAATTAGAAATTTTTGCTCTTCGCGGAGATTCTGCCTCGAGAGTTTTGTGCGTCGAGAGTTGGCTCGATTCTCGAGTCGACTCAACTCGATTCGAGTCCATAAATAAAGAAAGCAATTTGCGCTGCCGGGCTATAGATAGGTTGTATGAGGCTGGTTGGGTCGGATGGTCGGTTCTGAATCTGAACTGGCCTGGACTCGAATAGAAGTGGCAGAAAGCAGAAGCAGAAGGCAGCAGACCCTGGCCACAGTCAGTCAGTTTCATTCGTTGTCCACAGAAGCGTGCCACGCGTGCCGCCTTTTTCTCGGAAAAATAATTCCCTTCTTTTTCTTGGCTCGCGCGACAAATACTACAAAAAAAACTAATACAAAACACGACCAAAATCAAATAGGAAATAAAAATAAAAATCATCTCTTTTCCATATGCTATTTTTAACGACGCGCTGCGCAGATTGTGGATCCATATCTCGAGACCAAATCCTCGGCACAGGCGGTGCAAGAGACGCTGAACGACTTCAGTAAGCGGCAGGTCGACGTGACGAGCAGTTTGGAGAATTGGACAACGAGCATTGCGGAGAAGCGAGAAGTCGAATATCTACTCGAGAAAGTCATGAGCGACAACGAGGAGGTGAGTCTTCCACAGGGGAAATCAGAGAATTTAATTACGTCTAGTCGCGATTTTATAGAGTAAAATATATATATTTAGATTGGCGCATTTCCTTGAAGAAGTTGTTTTCATTTCGTAGGCAATTTCAAGTACAGACATATGCCAATTATGAAAGATTTTAATTTATAGATGGTCTCTGCTGTAAAGATTCAAAGAAGTTTTTAATTAAATAGTAATATGTTTGAGAAATAATTTAAACAAAATCCTTAATGGATTGAGAAGTAGGTTTTTCTGGCAAGTAATCAAATTTAGAAAATATATTTTATTCCAAAAATATATTTTAAAAATATTACTTTCATTTTTCCTGACAGTCAATATTTCTGTATTTCTATTTACTGTGTAAATAAAGAATTAATATTAATATTTTTTTATTTTAACTATATTTTACCCCATAATTTCTATTTAAATCTGATTTTTTTACCCCTTTTTTAGACCGTGGCCAAGAGCACCCAGGTGGACACCCAGTTGTATCCCGTCTTCACCTCGCAGAGCGTGGACTCCAAACAACTCCTGATCAGCACCCGCGAGAAGCTGACCCACGTGACCCAGGACATCGAGAGGGCCCAGGATGAGATACAGCAGCGCATTCAGACGACCCTCAGCATCCAAACTAAAGATCAACCATCGCTGGCCAAGATCGAGCAGGTGATCAACAACCTGCGCATGCTGAAGGCCAAACTAGATGGCATCAAGTACGATTACCGCACTTTGGTCGAGAGTGTGGTGCAATTTCTGGAGAATATAGTGCAGCTGCGACGCGAAATCGACGACTACTTCGCCAGGCAGCAGAAGGAACCACAACCCTCTTCCGGTGGTGCAGATCGCAGCATTGCAGAGCACGAGAAATTCCGCGATCAGTGCATGGATAAATTTAGATCGTTAATCACACAATCCGAACTGCTGATCGATCGGGTGAGAGTACTGGAACCGCCGGGAGCCCGCGAAATCGACACCGATCGCATCCTAAAGTTGCTTGAGAACCTGCGCCTTCACTTCGAATCGAACAGCAGTGCCCGCATGTCCACGCTGGAGCGTCTGGAGAAGATCGAGCAGTTCCGCTCCGATCTGGAGGACATCGATCGCAGCCTGGACAGCGTTAGTCAGCAGCTCCACGAGATCAACAACCAGAGCGTCGATAGTCTGGCGGCCGCAAAAACCACGTCGCTGGCGTTCGAGTATTTTGAACGGACCATAGAGGTGAGTGAACTCCCGTCGGTTCATTGAGGTGGGTTAGGATCGTTCGGATCGGGCGAACTATTTATTTAAATTGGGTAAACATTTGGATACAAAGTGATGCAAAGTAAGGAATCTGTAGATTGTCGATTGCAGGTGACTGTAAAGCGGAATTTTATTGTTAACAAAAAATAGGTGTAAAATCAGGATTTTTAATAATTTTTAATTTTAAAAAATTATAAATATTAACTTTATGACTTTAGAAATTTTTACCATGTCAAAAAAAAGTTCTTAAATATTAAACTTGGTTACAAAAATATTTCCTGATATATTGATAACATCCGGCACAACTACAATATTTTCATAAAATAATCATTTATTTCACACAACCAAAATAATTTATTTGAGCACAAACTTTACATATTTTCTTTAATGATGACACCACACGACGCTGAACAGATCTCTCCTGATAGATTTCGTGTCGATTTTTGATGGGTTTAAAATTATTGAATGATCTAATCCCATTCTAGTGTTCAATGCCCAGGCAATTGAAATCAACGCGCCATCAGCGACGCTGGGGCCAAACAGCCCACACGATCGAGGTAGCCACAGTCTCTGGATATAAAGACTATATAGATATATAGAATAGATATATAGACACAGAACGGATCGATCCCTGCATGCACTCAGAAAAAAAAAATTCCTAGATTTAAGGAAACATGGACTACATTGCCTAAAATGGTGATTTAAGGCCATTGTGGACTTAAAAATAGTAAAAATGGCCATAAATGTTCAATTTTAGGCCATAGATTTTAAGGAATTAAAATCGTGAAATATAGTCCACTACCTAAAAAATAGCACATGCCCATAAACAACACAAAAAAACTTTTTTTTTAACGAAAAATAAAAACAAATAATTTTTTATTATTCGGAAGGAAATTACGATCTTGGTACTTATCAAAATTTTACCCATATATGAGTATATTTAAAAAAATAGTCTATAAACAATAATATATGTATTTGTTTTTATATTTTCAAGAAAATGTTTAATTAATTTTATTATGCTGATTTTTTATATAGCGAAAACGTATAAAACTATACATTTTGTTTTTTTTGCCATACAGTAATCATTTGGTAATTGCTTTATGTATGGACAGCCCCAAGTTTGATGATTTGGCTTCAATGTATTTTTAGGAAAAGTATCCCTAAAAGGAAAATAATATGCAATTAAAGACGCTCTAAATCCTTCGTTCAAGGACTAGCTATTGTTATAATAAATAAGTGGTCAATTTTGTGTCGATCGGATTAATAGTTTTATAGTAATCGTGTCCACCGCAAAGGTAATTTCGAAAAAACAAGATTCTGAGATAATCGCGTTTAAAGTTTCAAGTTTGTAACGGCCGATGTGCAGGTAGTGGTAGTGCGCTATAAATAGCTACAACTTCGGTTCTAATGCTCCGATCGTTCTGAATTTTTGTAAGAGTATTCTCAACAGTATATATCAGTATATTTTCATCTATCACAACTGTATATAAAAAATAGTCATAAATATGTTAGCTATGCTGTTAAATTAACAATGTTTATCTTATCCATATGAGATGTTAGCTTAGTAAGAGAGTGCGGCGTACACATAATATTTTAATAATTTTTATCTAATAAAAAATTTTAAAAATGACTTTATGTGTCGCTTAGACACATGTACTTAACAGTGTCTGATGGTGTGACTGGTAAGGTGTCTGCCCCTGAAGCGAGAGGACCCCGGTTCGAATCCCACTGGTGCAAATGAGTTGAAAGTTTTTTTCAGTTGTAAAATTCATTTACTAATAACAATAAAAAATAAATACAACAATAAAATTAAAAAATAAAAATATAAAAAAAAAAATAAAACATGTCTTGTACTGGACTCGAACCCGGTTCAAAATAACCGGGAACTGGCATAGTTTCCTCTGGGCTACGCCCTTATTAAATTTTCGAGTGGCTAACTGCTTTTGTAAGTTTAGATGAATATCTAAATGCTTAAATTTTTGGGTAATATGGGCTTTTTTTAAGACCATCATGGCCTTAAAACAAGTCAGTGTGTTAGGACTTAAAACAAGTCTAAGATTCCTTAGGTCCAAAATTAGTCCATATTACCTTAGTTTAAGTCCATTTTTTGGGTTTTAAGTCCATATTTTTTTCTGGGTGTGGTCTTTATATTTTTGCATCACTTCCCGCTTCTTACCCTTTTGGGTGGTCATATTCTATGTGCCATAGAACACATCCCCACATCCAACTGGCAGCCCCACAACATTCATCAAATTTCCAAATGGGAAAGGAAACGAAACGAACTGCCGGGATGACATTTCGAAAATATCGCAACTTTCAAAATGTTGTCGCTGTCAACGGCGGACGATGGGCGATTTAGACAGGCAGCGGCAGCTGTCGTTAGTTTGTAATTAAAAACTCTGGGCCAAATACATGAAATACAACACAGAGATACCAAGAGATACGGATACAGAAAACCGAAACACATTCAGACCACTTTTTAATGCACTTCTATTTGCTGTTGGGCATTTGCTGTTATAAATTGCTTCTGGCGTTCCGATTTTTATGACCAGCTAAGCCAAAAAGCGGGTGGAGATGGAAGTGCACGGAGAAAAAAAAAGAAATCAAAGAAATTTAAGATCATTTTCTTAGCTATAGTTTTCCAAAAAAATAAGAAAAATCATTTATAAGCTAGTTCTAGTTATCCCTAATTTTTCCATTTCATAAATATATTTTATAGAATTTTTTATAGTATCTCCATAATTTTCTCTCACTGTAAAAGAATATATTCCCGCTTGGCTGCATTTCGCCTAGACACACTGCGTTTTAGTTGCTGCCTAATGGGTTAATTTGCTGGCGATTTATACATATATTTTTTGGCTGTCTCTAAAGATTACCATGTCACTCTCCTCTTCCACCCACATCGTATAGCTCCTAGAGAAGCGGATCGAGAAGTTTACGGAGTCCACGAGCCAGCAGCTTTTGATTAGCAATCCCGAGAGCGAGCGGTACGTCAAGGACGAACTGCGCAAACTCAACGACAAATGGCAGGGCTTCAAGGATCAGGTGAAGCAGAAACGAAAGAGCCTCAACCAGGCAACCGAATTCTTCGAGGTGGTCGAAAAGGTGGGTCATTAAAGTCTCCATAAATTATAAAACAGAGACCGTAAATGATTGGGTTTTTATTCTTAAAACTTTTACGACATTAGTCGATAATAATTCAATTTTCAGTATATAATCCAGTAACGAATTTATTACGTTATTAGTGGATCCTAAAATAATTTGTAATATCTGAAAAATCATGACATAAAGTTATAACACAATTTCTTAAAATATTCCTCAATATTAATATTATCAATATTAATTAGTAAATCTAATCTTCTCCAGATAAATTAATTTTCTATATTTATTATTTATGTTTAAAAGAGTCGAATACCCAATATTAATTAGTAAATAGTTAAAAATACCTTAAAATTTAATATTATTGAGTTCTAACCTATTATATAATCTATTTTTAATCCCCAGATCGACGCAGAGTACCGAGAGATAAGCTACTTCTACACCAGCGTCTCCAACAAGGTTCCCTATCTCCGTGATTCCGTGGAGGCAGGAAATCTGGTCAACGATATCGAGAACTATGTGACCAGTCGGGAAGCTGCACTCAGATCCAAGTTGGACAGTGCCTCGCAATGTGCCCATGATATGAACAAGGTCTCCACCCTCTACAACGACGTGATGAACATCTTCCAGTCCTTCATCAAGCTCAAGATGGACATAAATGTGGTGGCGGAGAGGCTGAAGCAGGAGCAGCGCCAAAAGGAGCAAAGGGAGAGGGAGGCTCGCGATCAGGCGGAAAGGGAGAAGACTTTGCGGGAGGCGGAGGCCAAGGAAAGGTTGTTCCGGGAGGAGCAATCCCGCCTGGAGAACCAGCGACAGCAGGCGGCCATCGAGCAGGCTCAAAGGGAACTGGCTGCCAGGGAGTTGGCTCTCAGGGAGCAGGCTGTCCGGGAAGAGGAGGCCAGGCTGCAATCCATCAGAGAACAGGCCACGCGGGAGCAGCTGGCCAGGGAACAGGCGGCCAGGGAGGAGGAGCTGCGCATTCAATCCCTCAGAGAAATTGCACGCCGGGAAGAGGAAGTGCGTCTGCAGAGCAAGAGGGATGAGGAGATTCGCATTCGCCGCGAGGAGGAGGAGCGATTCCGCAGGGAAAATGAATCCCGATCCAAGCGAGAAGAGGAGGCACGCATCCAGAGGGAGGAGATCACCCGCCTGCAAACCCTTCGCGATCAGGTGGATCAACAGCGTTTGGTCACCGAAAACATCCGCAAGGACATCCAAGTCAACTCCATTTTTACTGAACTGCGCTACGCTTCTCCCCTTTTCATTCGTCCTTTAAAGGATGCAGTGGCTCGGGAAGGAGATCGCTTTGTCTTCGAATGCGAAGTTACTGGCACCCCAGAACCCGCAGTCGAGTGGTTCAAGGATGGCATCAGCATCCAGAATAATTCCGATTATAAAACCACTTTCGACAAGGGAATCTGTAGACTGGTGATTGAGGAAACCTTTACCGCAGATTCAGCGAGATTCAGTTGTCGTGCCTCGAATTTGGTTGGTACTTGCGATACAAATGCCACTTTATCAGTAAGGGAAAATGCCGCCGAAGTCCAGTTGGTTCCACCTAAGATCCTGAGATTCCTGGAGAGCGGCAAGGCCACCGAGGGCAGTTCCTTCCAGTTCGCTTGTGTAGTTGCCGGAGTTCCTCTACCCACCGTTCAGTGGTTCAAGAACGACAAGTGCATCGATGATTCGCCTGATTATGTGATCAGCTACAATAATGGTGAAGCTACTTTGAAGTTCGAGGAGGTTTTCTTGGAGGACGATGCTGTCTACACCTGCAGTGCTTCGAATCCCGCGGGAATTGAACATTGTTCGGCCTCGCTGATTGTGGAACGTAAGTGGAACATATTTTTCAATTATTTGATTTTTAAGAAATACAGAAAATATTATTTTTTTAATTTTTTCAATTCTATTTAACCTATTAATTAAATTTAACTTAATCTATTTTTTCAATTCTAAAAACATTTAACATTAATTAATAATATTTTGTTTATTTCCTCTATTTTAGCTTTGGAGCCAACTGAATTGCCCAGCTTCAAGGTTCCCCTCTCGAATGCCATGGCTCGAGTGGGTCAGAAAATCAAGCTGGAGGCCATCGTGAGTGGAATTCCCAGGCCAGAAGTCTATTGGCTGCACAACGGCAAACCCTTCCAGCCGCGCGATTCCAAGGTGAGTTCGATGTCTGCTTTATTAGAAGGGGAAAGACACCGTAAAATATACTTTTTACTGGAAATATTTTTCATACCATATATTTTAACATTTCTGATACATCGTAATTTTCGCAATTTATTTATATACTTTTCTGGGAATAATTTGGTTTCTTTATCTTTTTTGGCCAATATTGTGTCCCCTTTTGGGATGCATAAATTATAAAGAAAAGACAAAGTGTTGACATAATGTTTTTAAGGAATTTGCAAGTCGTTTAAGCAGACAACTGAATTCTTTTGACCAGATTAATACATTGATTCCGAAATATTTAAATATTTTGCAAAAACATATTTCCACTTTAAAACTCACCATTGAGAAATCAGCATAAATAAGTGAATTTAATTAGAATTTGAAAGGAAACCCCCGAAGATTTCCGCCGACTATTTTCCCCCCGACAAAGGGTAAACAAATGGAAGGCAGACCACCTAGTACAATTCCCCCAACTGTCTGGCGATTGACCATCTCCATATATACACAGCAACTTTGTATATACCCCATGAAAATCAAATCTTTGGCTGGAAAAAGCCAGAGGGAATTTTCTATATTTTTTGCGGTGGGCGTTGCATGTGCGGTTTGGACTCACCAAACTCGTAGTTCCATAATTCGAAAAGAAATGATCTGACTGACGTCAGTCACGCATCTTTTCACTCTTTCCCCGCGTTTTCCCCAAAAAAACGATGATCGTTGGTCAAACTGAATTCAAGGCGATCGTTTTGAAAACACGCCAACGCACTTTACGGACAGATAGTGCGATGCATAAGTTGGCCAGACAGCATATAGCCCATATAGCCATAAAATAATATCTAATAGCTGCAATTTTTGGCAGCTCCCCCGTGCAACGAGCCATGCGAGCGTTTCGAATCCAATTCACCACAGTCAGGCCAGGCAATTTGTTTATTGTGGGCGCCAACATTGTGTATACAAATCGGCTTTTATATGTATATTTGCAGATTTTCCTTTTCATTTGGCCAAATAAAATGATAGAAATTCTGAAAGAAATGATTTCATTGGCCGCACTTTTAATTGCCGCCGTCGCCGCTTGTTTGACAAAACATGATCTCACTTTTATTTGATTGATCAAAATGAAATGAAACCAATTCAATTAGAGAAGAAAAACCTCTGATTGTTTTCCATTCAAGCGTTGAACACCTGAACTCAGGTGCTTCCTGCAATTTGGGGCAAAACAAAGATCATTTGTTGTGGCAAAATAAACAAAGTGTTTTTCAATTTACCCCTTTCCAAAAATCCAAAAAAAAAAAAGCCAACGGATGTGCCTCATCCGCAGACAAATTCGTACATAAGATTTAAATCGGTGTAAAAAAAAGAAGGAAAATTTAATTGCAAAAAAAGAAAACACAAAACTAGAACGAACAAGAGCCGAAGAATGAGCATTCAAAATCCACCATCGTTTTTCGGGGTGTGGTGAATATACCCGAGTACCGAATCCCCAACTGACTAGACTTTTCCGTGATTTTCTCTCTGCACTTTCAGTACGAATACGGCCGCGTAACGCTGATAATACCGCAGGCTTATCCCAACGACGCCGGATCCTACGTCCTGAGCGCCAAGAATCTAGCTGGCGAGGCCTATACCAGTTGCAACGTGATAGTGAAGGGTCGCCTGCCCAACGAGACCTCAGATTCCGAGATGGCCAGCGATATAGAGCCCATCAAGCCCACGGTTCATCTGCCCCTGAAGGATGTCTCCATTTTCGAGGGTAAACCCGTGAGGTTGGACTGTGTAATTGTGGGTCAACCCGAACCCGAGGTCATTTGGTATCACAACGACCGACCTGTCAAGGAATCCGCCGATGTTCAGTTGCTTTTCCAAGGTGATAGATGCTCGCTGATTATCCAAGAGGTCTACCAGGAAGACGCAGGTCACTACAAAGTGGTGGCCATCAATTCGGCGGGCGAGGCTTCTAGTAACTGTGAACTCAAGGTCACTCCTTTGAATCAGGCGGAACCTGCCACTCGTGCCCAGGCGGAAAGGCAATCCCTGCCAAAGGATACGCAGCCCAAATTCGAAAGGCTACTCTCGGATGTCCTAGCAGACGAAGGTGAGCAGGTGGTCCTCGAAGTCCAGGCCAGTGGAGATCAACCCCTGACCGCCCAGTGGTTCCTGACCAACAAGGAACTGCAGCTGGACCAAAGGATCACTACACAATCCGACTCTGAGCTGGGAATCTTCAAGCTCATCCTGAACAATGTGAGTGGCGATGACAAGGGCGTTTACACCGTCAAGGTCACCAATCCAGCCGGAGATGCCAAGTGCTTCTCCCATTTGATAGTGAAGTCCGTGAATGCTCCTGAGAATCGTAGAAGCAGTCAGTCGTCTGTGGAAATTCTAGACCGTCATCAGTGTCCCGAATTCAAAGAACTCTTCAGTGACAAACAAGGGGAAATCGATGAGGTGATCAAGTTCGAGTGCATTGTCAAGGGCAAACCCACACCAAAGGTCCATTGGTTCTTCAACGATCAACCCGTTCATGGTCACAACTTCCTGGTCTCGACAAGTGGAGAACGACAGGTGTTGACCATCCAAAAGTTAACCCATGACGCCGTGGGCAAAATCAGTTGTGTGGCGGAGAATGAGGCAGGAAAGGCGACCTGTGTGGCCTTCTTAAACATCCTGGGAAATGGACTGCCCGCCTCTAGTGATGTTCAAACTATGAGCCAGGAACACAATACGGAATCTTCGAGGGTGACGATTAAAAAGCAAACCTTTACTACCACCTCCACCTCGCAGGTTAATTCCTATGAGGGAAACGCCCCACAAACCGAGGTTCATCACTCCTCCGCTCACATCGATCAATCGCTGAAGCAACTGGGCCAGCAAAGACCCGAGATTGTGGAGAGTCATCACTACCAGGAGTTGCACAAATCCAAGGAGATGAGCAGTCCCACCGTGCAGCAAAAGTCCTTTAACTTTATCCAGTCCAGTTCAGCCAATGGACAATCCACCGTGGCCATACCAGATTCACCCACTCGACTGAGAAGGGAAATTGCCCCAAGGTTCACCACTCCTCTGAGCGGAAAGATCGTGGATCAGGGAGCCGATGTCAGCATGGAGGCCATTTACGATGGCTTCCCTTCGCCCGAGATCAAGGTGGAGAAGAACGGAGGTCAGCTGTTCGAGGATGCCCATACGAAGATCTCCAACAAGTGCAATCGCGTGACCATCGAACTCAAACAGGTGGGCGTGGCCGATGCGGGACGATATGCGGTGACCGCCTCCAATACAGTGGGTCAGTCCACCAGCACAGCGGATTTGGTTGTTAAAAGTGAGTATTGGGGAATATTATTTATAAGGGGATATTAAAAAAAAAAAAACAAAATAAAAAAAAAAATTAAAATAAAAAATTTCTAATTGGATTTTAGCAATTTGTTATTTTTATTTTTCTTTTAAAACAAATATTAAAAAAAGAAATTAAAACAAAAAAATAATTTAAATTTAGAATTAGGAATTTACAAAATATTTTTTTTTTTAAAACCTTGATCCGTTTATTCAAAATATTTATTAGTGTTATTTGTAGGAAACACATAAAACCTAGCGTAAAAGGAAATTTTAATTATTTAATGGCGCCCAACGTTAGACCGCCTGTGACCTAATTTAACCTATCCAATTACGACCACCCCCAGTCATTTGCTAGAGAAATCAATTTCCCAGAATTAAATAAACTAAAAAAGCTGGCGAAAAGTGTTCACAAGAACTAAAAAACCGCATACACATGTTCCCCCAGGCAATAGAGGCCCTATATCATATGTTATGGCGTTTGTTCTGACCACATCAATCAGCGGAGAGCATTAAAGTGTCATTGTCGAGGGAAGAGGGGAACAGAACCGCCAATAGATCTTCAAACGTCAATGCCTTGAATGCTCCCCAGAATATTGATGAGTTTTTAGTGGTCGCCGACGGGGTTGTTGGAGGATGATGAGGATGATTCTCGGCTATATTGTTTTTGTTTATATTTCAATCTTTTCTGTTGGCTGTGGCTCGCCCGGGTGAGGGAGCATCTCATTTCTTGGCCAATGCAAAAGATTTTCTTACAGAAAATTTATAAATACTCTCTGGCAGCCGTGGGGTTAGTGGGTGGTGGTTCAACGGATATGGTTGTGGATTGGGGTTGGGGCTGTGGGATAATGTCTGCAATTATTATTATGTAAATCGCGTTGAAGACCCGAGAGATCGTTTATTTACTCGGGCTGTTTGCAGATTTGTCGCTGCTGCCTGCAATGTGTGTTTGAGATTATTTTTACTGCCTGTCGGATGTCTAAACGAATTATTCATTATGGCCGATTATTGGGACGGCTGTTCAAGTAAATTATTCGGCAACGAATGTGTTGCAATGACACACAAAGGCACGCTACATATGTTAATGCTCATTGTTTTTTGGTTGCTTTTCCCCGAATTATATAGAGACCATTTTCCCGCCCGTCTTTGGCCGACGTCTGCAGGCTCAAGTCAGCAAAAAGGGCGAAAAGTTGATCATGGAGGTGGAGGTCACTGGGTTACCCGAACCCACGGTCACCTGGCTGAAGGATGAGAAGCCTTTGAAGGATGCTGGAATCTCTGAGCATCGCCTGCTGGCCCAAGGAAACTCTTACAGGCTAATAATCGAAAAGGGTAAGTAAGCATTTCCTTTCCTTTAAGTTTCCGTTTTAGTATCTATATAAGTTTGGTGTCTAAAAATTTTCCTTTCGAATTTTCTTTCGAAATTAGGGAAATAGAAAGGAAATGACAGCCAAATGGCGAAAGCAAGCAATTTGTTTATTTAACCCACATTTTTGCTATGTTTAATTTATCGAACATTCAACACTGAAATGTTTTTGCAAACATCTCAGGCAAAGTCTTTGGGTCTTAAATCATGTTTATATAAGTTTTAATTGCTTGTGTTATTTTCATTGTGCAAATCTGTGCACTGCAGTCATATACAAGTAAATGAAATATCGCCCATCCTAACTAGCTCTTCATAAATAAATATGATAATAAATAAAAATTGTTCTACTATTTTTAGCGCAAACCTCGGATTCCGGCAAGTACATGGTGCGTGCCACAAATGCAGGCGGTGAGGCCAAGAGCATCGCAGATTGTGCCATTCTGGAACCTTCACCGGAACGCATGCAGGAGGTGGTCAAGACCATTGTCTATGAGACGGGTCCTTTGGCCCCGGCCAGCGATTTCAAAACCGAAGTAAGTGTGCATGTGCTCAATATCTAACCACCGACTACTATGCATTATCCTCCACGATTCACCTATCTACTCCGATCTATTCTATCTATCTCTTCTTTTTTCGACTCTGTTAACTTATATACTTTAATGCCGATCAATATAATAAACCAAACTTTTGTGAATTTTCTCCTCTCATGATGTCAACGTCGTTCGTTCTTTCGTTTTGCTTTGCTCATTCCACGGGTTTACCACACACTACCTACTGCTACTCCATCATCATACAAAAATACACTGAAACTGAAACTGAAGCAGGTGCAGAATCAAAATCAAAGTCAAAACAGCGAACAGTCGTACAAGACTAGTCAGACCGATGTGACCAGTGCCAATGATCTGCACGGTTTGTCCGAGTCGAAAGTGATCACTGAGCATCGTTGCACCACCGAGGCAACCATGCGTCTAGAGCACAAATCGAACTATTTGGATCTGCCCGAGCTGACTTCGCGTCCCAAGACACCGACCACAAACGATACCATCACCATTACCTCGAACACTGCCACAGATAGCTTGGATCAGCCAGATCAGACATCGACCATCAACACCACCAAAGTCCCACCGCCAGTGCCACCCAAACCCTGTACTCCAGTGGTGGCCACCACCTTTGGCCAACAGCAACAGCCACAGCAACCACCGCAGACGCTGACCAGCACCAGATACGAGCAGAGCGAGCACAAGTCGAGCACCACCTCCTCCTCGTTTGACTACTTCAAGAAGATCGATGAGGAGACCGTCATCCAGCGACCCAATCCACTGACCTTCAAGCCCCTGGAGACTGTGGTGCGACAACCGCAGGCGCAATCTCTTGCCGAGGAACTGAGGAGTCTCAACCTGATACCAGGAGATGCCCCCGAGTTCCTGTACTCACCGAAAACCGAAAAAAGCGAACCTAAGATACCACTAATCACCGAAAAGATCAAGATACTTTCCGAGGTCCAACCCAAGGAACCACCACCACAGGGTGGTGTACCCGTCTTCCCACCACCTCTGGGTCTCCAGACAGTGCAACACGAAACCACAATGACTAAAGAGGTCAAAGTGGAGTATGGACAACCTATTGTAAGACCTGCAGCAGTGCTAGCCACTCCTGCCCAGCAGAATCCACGTTCACCCTCACCCAAACCCTCCGCCGAAGGAGTGGCCATGTCAAGGTTATGGACACCCACTGGAGTGACTGGTTACTCGAGTGATGTGGAGCAGAAATCCTCAGAGAAGACAGTGATCTCCAAGCTAGCCACACCAACGCCCACAAAGGAGCTAAATGCACCCTTCCTGGTAAATCAGATAGTGAAGAGCATTCCCCCAGCGACAACAACAGCTCCTGTAACGCACTTGGTGAATGTGCAACTGGAACCGGGGACTCCACCAGAGATTTGCTTTGCTCCCAAGGTGGAGGAGACACGTCGTCGTTCCTTGGTGGAGAGCATGGAGCAGAAGCTAGAACAGAACTTGATCCAGGGACCCAGTAAAGTGTTGCCCCACTCGGTGCCCACACTAACACCAACCACTGTACCAACGGTGCAAACAAAACCATTGGGCAACACCACCTATAGACCACCACCACCAGTTCTGCCCAACCGATTGGGACTCTACGAAAGCGATTACGAGAGTGATCGGTACAAGTACAGTGGCAGTGAGTCGGATGTGGAGCCCGGAAATCGCAATCAGCCACAGCAGACCACCATGGAGACCTCCTTCAAGTCAAGTGGCTATACAGCCGATACAGAGGAGCATTCGAGCTATAAGAAATCGGAGTCGAGTTATTACGAAACCAAGTCATCATCGACGACAGGGGGTAATGCCTTCCCCAAGTTGCAACCCGAACCACCGGCAGCGGTTTATTTCACCCCAAAGGTGCCACAACCTCAGGTGGCACCACCTCAATCGAATTTTAGCAGCCAGGAGGCGAAGGTTCGCATTAGATCTTTCTCTCTGTGTGTGTCTATCTGTGTTGTCGTTCATTGTCGTTGTTGCTAGCACTACGGAGCTCAAAAAGAAAGCTCCCATTTACACCAGCAAAAAGCCTCTGTGTCGTTGTTGTTCTTACTAGCTAACTAAGTCCCGAGTAAAACACACCAATTAATCACTAAGCTCCTTGATTAGCATCCACATATTGCATTTGATTAGATTTCCCGTTCGTTCATTTGATTGATGCTTCATTTACCCAACTCTAACCTATCAACCTAATCGAGTTTGCCTGATATCTAAACCCGTTCTTTAACTCACATTACCCTTTGTGTCTAACCTACTTCAGAGTGATATCATTATTAACACCAAGTATTATCTCCTTAGGACTACAAGTACACCTCCTCGAGTATGACCAGTAACTACTCCCACAACATGCAGAGCAGCAGCAGTTCCTCCCATCAGGAGACCAAGTTCTCCTCGACGTCGGGAGCACCAGCAGTACCACCGGTGGTCACCTATCCCAGTCCCATTCCCGCCCAGCGGAAAACACCGGCGGCGGAGTTCAGTGACTACAGCAGTGAGATCGATGAGCGATTCCGTTCCGTGTCTCGTGCCAATGAATCCGATGCAGAGATCAAGGGCTATCGAGTGGTCTTCCCACCCACACCAACTCCACGCACAAACCTGGCAACCAATGGTCACAAGTCACCGGTGGTGGTGATTACTCCCTCACCCATGGAATTTGAACCTACTCCACAGGACTTGGGAGCTAGCCAGTATAACAGGCCCAAGTTCGAACCGATTGGCAAGGAGATACGCCATGAGATCAAGACGGAGAGTAGTTCGAAGCAGTCCAAGTTTGTCCAGCAGCAGAGTCAGCCTGTCTTTAAACCCAAACCGGTGGCAGCCAAGTTTATAGCGGCAACCCAACAGCAGCAGCAACCACAGGCCACCGCCCGTCCGACCATGTACTACAATGCTGTTGCTGGAGCTCCGATGCACCTGGCCAAGGTGGCCACGGAAACCAAGAATGTTATGCAGATGCACGAGTCCACGGAGAGTTCACAGCGCGTGGTGAATATGCAGCAGACCAAGAGGATAATACACTTTGATAGTCCGCAGGAGCAGAGGGATCAGCAGATTGTCCTGGAACCCTTTCCCTATAGTCCAGCCACAAGTCGTACTCCCTCGAGGCAATCCCATCTGCCACCTCCAGCCACTCCAACGAAATTTGTGCCTGGGGAATTCAGGGAGAGTGACTATGAGAGTGAGATTGAAGGAGGTCGCATCCAACCGCTGTGGTCACCCTATGGCGATGGTTTGACCAAGGGTTTCAGGCGAGTGGCGCCACCTCAAGGAGGCAGTCGTTCCTGCAGTCTTCCTCGAACCTACGAGAGGGTACTATCACCCATGGAATTCGATCGGGGTCCCGAGATGCCCAGCAAAATCCACGTGGATATCAATACCCTGAAGAAGGAGCAGCGAGGTGGCAGTACAGTGACCACCCAGCATCGCACTCAATCTCTGAACAGGAACTCCACGATGAGACAACAGCAGAGGGAACAGCCACAGCAACAGCAACAGCAGTCCATGGATCAGATTGATAGGGCCGGAACTCTGCCCCGATATGGTTATAGTAGCCTTCAACAGCAGGCCGAGAATCAGGGTCGTCGAATGGGTTCGACCTTCCTACAGAAATCCCATCAGTTTGTGGATGACGTAAGCAGGGAAGTAAGGAGTTCGAATTCGAATGGTATATCAATCCGACCGGGTTTCAAGAGGGCTCCCAGCGAAGGCAGCAGCCAGCAACCTCAGGCCTTCCGGGATGAATCGCGCATCTCTCAATATGGTAAGTTTTTAACTTTCGTTTGAACCCTGATTATTCCTACTTAAGCCGCAGTAGAGATTTGGAGCCAGCTCCCCTCATTTGAATTGGTATTTTGAGATTTTAAATTTGAAAATTGAGAATTCGGTTGAATTGGTTTGAGAAATTTGCATTCGTTTTTGACATACCGGACATACCCAGTACTAATCCGTTATCATCTTGAGATCATTTTTATCAGGTTGAAGTTTAATATACCATTTTTTTTCGTTTGTCCTATTTTATTGAACAGTTTGATATTTTATTCAAGACTAATCCGTTATTATTATTTTAATAACCATTCAATGAACATATTTATTGTTTGTACATATTTATAATTTGTTTAAACTTATGAGTTATACTTTTAAATAGGAAGCCATATTTATTTTTATATGTTTAGTTGTAAGAGTTTTATTTGTTCATATACTCGGTCATCAAGAATCGTTACTTATATCATAAAAATGCCTTCATAAGCTCTTTATAAACATGTTGTCAGCTTTCATTTCGAATTGCTTACAATATCCAACCATCTACTCACCAAGATAAACTCTTTATCGTATATGTTTGTCTGCAAACCGTAATCAGGAACCAAATGCGTCGACCCCAATACCGGTTTAATATATTTCAAATACGATTTCGGCTATGAGTTTGGCATCCTTTTTCCCGGCGAGGGTCACAAGTTCGTCAGTAGCCAGTGGAACAGCAGTGGTAAGAGTAATGCCCAGCCCATCCAAAACGGACGTCACTCCCCATATCCCCTGAAATTGCCACCCGGAAATGAGCTGGTGATTCCGGTTCAGCACGAGAGATCCTCCTCGCAAGGATATAGTTCCGATAACGAGGTGCAGCGAAGGAGTCAGGCCAGGAATTGGTCGGCTTCAAGGCCAACGGCCCCGAGAACTGTAGTTAATAGTCAGAAGCGCTACAGTCTGCCCAGCTGTCATAGCCTCGATATCCACCTGGATCGCCTCCATGCCCAGGCACCTCGACTGCCTCCGGATCAGATGATCCGCACAGGTATTGATGCACTCAAGCACTCAAAATTCAGAAGGCTGTCGTCAGCAGATGAAAGCCATCAATCAGAACGGCTTAACGCTATCACAATCGCTATCGATGTTGTCAATTAGTCTAGGACAAGTTAATGTTTTGATCACGATTGTAGAAAAAAAGTTACAAAAAGATATAAACATAAAAATCACGAGGTTAAGTTCGAGAGAACTAGTGACATTCTAAGAGCAGTTTTTTCGTCTTTATGGTAAATTAAAAGTAGGTTTTAAACCTAGAAAACATATGGCAATTTATGTCTTAAAACCTACTTATAAATTAGCAATTCAAGTTTAAAACCTACGGTTAGTTTAACCTGAGGTCGAGAAATCGGAACTAAGTAAAGTTTATATCCTTATAACTTTTTATCCAAGAAAGTGTCAATCGTGATCTTTTGCCCTTGTGATTAACCCCCAAAATCGCCATCGCCAGTATCTTTAAGTGTGTAAATAAGCAGGTCCTGTTGTTGTAACCCAAAAGTCGAAAAGCATGCTAACCCGAAAAAACCCAGCTCGCTGCCTTGTTTTTGCATGAACCGTTTTCATTGTTTGCTGTTTGCGTTCTTCGTGTTTAAACTTTAAAGTGAAACGTACTTCTAAGTGTTTGTGTTCCGTGCCTGCCGCGTGCTAATCCCACTAATGGATGCGCTTTGAAAACGCTGAGCCAGAGATTCTAATGGTTTTTCGCCCACCCACACCACTCCAGTGCCGGAACTGCCCAATACGGAACCCGTCAATGCGCATCTGAGTCGCGATGAGCTGGCACAAAGGCAGCCATTATTCATAACGGTAAGCGTAGGAGCCATTAACCCAAGACCCGCGAATACTGATGGCCGTATCTCTCTCCTATCCATTTTCCCTGTACCAACTGGACCACCTGGATAGCCGCTGAAAGACATCGCAGTCGGAGTCGGAGGAACGGCGCGATTCGAGTGCATTGTGCAGGCGCATCCGCAGCCGCAGGTCAACTGGACGCACAACGGCGGTCACCTGGAGTCGGGGAGCCGGCACTGCATCGAGTACCGGAACGGCGTGTGCCGGCTGACACTGCCGCAGGCCTATCCGGGTAAGTACTGCGGACAAGCAGGTCAACCGAGCAGGCACAGAGCGAAAATGAAGGAACTTTCATTACTAGAACATATTCATTAAAAACTTAGATTACAATTTTAAAATATTTCCACAAGATAAAATATCCTAAAATGCTGATCTGCATTAGAGAAAATATAAAATATGTAAATTTAAATATGAATCCTTGTGTTCTAAGGACTAATATATCATACAAAGCATGATTTGATATTATAAAAAAACAAAAGTTAAACAAATTAAACAAGGTTTTTCAATTTAATATTAATCACAAGAAAAAATCACAAAATATATTATTAAAGTAAAAATTTAAATTATTTGATGACTTGCAATTACAATATTTAAAATCGAAGTATGAAAGTTATATTAAAATAATTTTTTTAAAGAAGCGTTTTGAATTTTTGATGTCTTTAAATTGTAAATGTTAAATTTACCAATAAAATTAAAAATATTTTGGAATTCTTTAAAACTATGCAGCTTAGCTTTTAGCAATATTATCGACCTGGATAATTATTATCCCTTACAATGAGTACCCCCAAATTTCGCTCTGTGTACAATCAAATCGGGGCAGCTCATTAATCGTTTTACCTTCTCTCTTCCTCGTTTCCTCCCGGAATGCCTGGCATCCTTCGGATTCTGAATGGTTCTGAATGGATCGCAATCCGGCAGATGACAACGGCAACTACGCCTGCACCGCCATGAATCCTTTGGGAGCGGCAACCACCAGCGGAAATTTGACCGTTTCGAGCACAAACCGCGGATTTAGATACTAAGCTTGTTTAAATGCAACTATTATTATAATTTGCTTTATGATTTGTTCAATGCCAAAGTTTCGCCTTATTGTGTGTGTGTGTATTTACTGTGCCCCATTGTTTTCTGGGCTGATTTTAAAGAAACATTCAGCCAAAATACCCATTATACATGCATACAACAGAGGAATATAGTATTACTTGTGTTTTTGTCGAAAATGAAATAAACCAATAATGAAACGAAGGAGGAATTTGTGTTTTGTGGGGTACATAATGATTTTTCCGGCTTTTCCTCACACAGCTGATCGTGAAAAGCTATTAGAGTGGCGCTCTCTAGGTTGAAAAATGTAGCATTTTGTTCGAAAAAGCTAAAATCGTTTGTTCGAAAAAGCTTTCTAGCTCTCTAGTCAATAGATGGCGCCAAGTGATCCCCGATCTTGGAATTTTCAAAAATATAGGTTTCGAAAATATATATAAAAGCCATATGGTTAAGATTTTGTAAGAAGAAAATATGAACAAAATAAGATTTATTATTCACGTTGTGTACGCAGAATGTTTACATTATTATCGATCCCTCAGATCTTTGGAAATTAATTTCCCGCATTGGTTTTGACATTAACTTTGTTTATCTTTGATCTCAAGATTAATTACTCTTTTCGCAAACATTTTCTTTCATTTAAAATTTAAATTTCTGAATGAATTACAGAATTTTAAAGTCCCATATCTCTCGCTAAGCACTTAGTCCATCAATTAATTTCAGTCATTTGCTTTCCATTACTCATTGCCGTATAAATATTTTAACTAGGCCGAAAAAACTACTTTCGAAAATCAGGTCAAAAGATGATTCAAAAAATTCGAGGGGCGGCAGCTAAACAAATGTTTGGATTTGTGTGAAATAAAATGCTGTGGGTGGGCGAAAGACGGCTGACGGTTCGACTAAGTTTCGCTCTGCTGCTCATAAATGATTTATTTGCCTTTCGGCAATGTTTATTTATCTAATTTTCGTGGCATTTTCTTTTTGTCGCGATCGCTTGCCAAGATTTCAGCGGCGGGTAAAACGCGCAAAATGCGAAAAATGTTCAAGCAACAAAGGGGCAGCGGTGAAACTCGGACAGGCCAGACATAAACACTCTCGGCTGTCAAGGCAATGAGTACACATGGGCCCAGTATGTAGGCCTCAGCGAGTCCTTGACACTGACACCGAACCCAAATCACCGGCAGTGTTGCCAAACTACTAGAATTTATTACCGAAAGTAGTCAAAAATTGTTGTACGAAAGTCAATTAAAATAAAGTGTTTTTGAGGAACTTATATATATTTACTTTGATGTTGAAATATAATTTAAGTGTTTATAGTTTTGTTCACACTTGGTAAATCTCCGCAGTCAAAACAACTCATGTGGGATTTATAGGAAATTAAAAATTAATATATTTTGATATTCGTAAAAATAGTATATAAAATTTTAAAATTTTAGTGAAAATTATATTTTTATACTTTTATCTAGAAATAAAAACTTATTCACACTTTCTAAATCAAAATTTTTTTATTGTAGAAAATTAAATTTTTATTAAAGATCTCAAAGTATATAATAAAACGAAAAACTAAATATATACCTACTTATAAAATTTATTATTTAAAAATGCAAATAATTAGGTAATTAAAAATCTTTAGTTTTGGGTGTAACGAATTTCTCGGCTTAGATGGTGATGGAAGGGTTCAGGACGCACGCGCAAAGGTCCAGCTAGCTCCATGTCGGGTGTATGGGGTGGTGATCTTGTCCTTTAACCTTCAGCCTTCATTCACTTCCAAAAAATATATCAATTTTGCGTGCTACGACAAGAATTTACAGAGGGCGAATAGTCGTACACAGATACGCAGACAGACAAAACAGATAGAAATTCCTTAAAGATCCCTACTTGTCCTCAGATGTTCTGGAGGAACTCCGATTGCCCTCCCTTCCTTGGCCATTCCATACCTGGACTCATGTTATTGTGTTCAGCCCCTTCTGGGGATCGCTGATAAGTCCCTACAGGGGAGTCATCCTAGTCATAGGCAAACAAAGCGGTTTTCTAACACATTATAAAATATATTTAAATCCTAATAAAATAACTTATTACTAACAGGCATAATAAAACGGATCGATAAATAAAATACAGGCAAATACCTTCGCCAACGAGTGGGATTAAAAATATGAATAATCGGCAATAATAAAAAAAAAAAATTACTTTTCTAGATTAGGATATTTTTACCGAACATAACTAAAATAAACCCGAACATAAATAAAATTTGAATAGCACGATTAACTAAAAATAAAGTAACCAAAAAGAAACTTCGGAGAATTCAAAGGAAATATGAGATCGTTCAGCAGCCAAAAATAATGCATTAAAAATCAAAGTAAATAAGAGTCTGCGAATTCGCCGCAAATACACTCTCACACATTTTTAAGTTGCCCTTGAATTCCGATTCCACTGTTCCATAAATGGAGAGAGAGCTTGCCCTTGAAATTACACGTTTGCCATTCCCCGTTTATCCGTGATAGCTACGGCCGTGAAATTCTGATTCTTTTTACATTCGCATTCGCTTAGCGGGGACTTGGGACAGTGGGGCAAATAACGATCTTTTGGGCTTTTGCTTCATAACATATAATTTTAATTGTGAAATATCACTTACCAAAACTCGGGGGATCCATCGACGAAAGCGCTTCCGTGAGGTTTTGCTGCGAAACTTGAAAAAAAACCAAAAAAAAATATTCACTATTCTACCCACTGTACCGACTTTAGTGCATTTCTGCCACTGCCCTTTCCTCTGCTTATTCTTTTTTTTTTTTTTTTTTTACTTCTTCTCGGGCAATCGGGGTTTGATTTTCTTTCGATTCTCCGATTTTTCTCCTAGCTTTTTTCTCACTCTTGGCATGGTTTTTATACACTATCACTAATAAGAAAAACTGCTTAAACTTAATTGTTCGCCGACACGCGTTCACCCGGATATCTTTCACCGAATTATTTTACGATTTTTCCGCCGTTTTATATTCCTTTTTACGCTGTTTTAATGCAAATTGGCGATCCTGCGTCCGACGTTACGCGCTGGCCAAGAAAACTGCTCGCTCAGAACTCCACTCCAGTCCACCACACTCGAAGCTTGGTGAGTTAGGGGAGAGAGAGGAAATGGGATTGAGCGATACTCTCGGCGAATTCAATCCCTTATTGGAATTGATTGAGGTTGCATCGAACCACTTTTGGGAAACTTGGCGGTTCGATTCTCTTACAAAAAAATAATTGATTTGCCCACGCCCTTGAGATAAAAGTAATAAAAATATGCCTTTCTTTTGGCTCAAAAATCCCCACGGTTCCCTTTTGGGGTGGATGGAGGTCGTATCTTCGTCTCCAGCGATTCGCTCCAGGGTTTCTGCTTCGATTGGGGGATTTTTAGCAATTCTGCATTAAGCGCCAAACCTAAATGATTGCGAAAATTCTAGATTCTGCTGCATATGTCCCTGACTGTTTATGAGCTTACCCTAATTTTTGGACTCAGCGCAGATTTCAGTTTTCCAAATGGAATGATTCAAATTTTTTCCGCTTTTAGGCTTCTGGTTGGAGTTACCACCGCTCTCCCAGACCATGACGTCGCCATATTTGCGAGATTGACAATTATCTCTGTTGCCTCTTTGTCTCCGAAAACCTTCCCCTCCAGAATTCTTTCTCTGGCCTATTGATAATACCAACACCGACAAGTAGATGGCGGCACCATCACCATTTGACCCCTAGGTGGCTCTACTAATTTATTTACCTGCGTTACATGGGTTATAATGTTACATAGAAACCCCACAGATTCTAGATATATTTTGATATTCTTACAAATAATAATGATCATAAAACATTGAAAAAAAAAATTAATATCTCATTATTAAAAGTTTCAAATACTTAGTTAATTAAAAATCGTAAGCTTTGGGTTTATTATAATATAGCTATACTTCACTATACTTAAATTTTTATGACACCCCGGATTGGCATTCTCATCTAGCCTGATTTTCCCACCTACTTTGGGACATATGACACACTTCTGTCGATGATTAGTCGCTGCTGGTGGGTGGATGGTCAGATAATCGAATGGTTGGCTGTGGGTTTTTGGGTGGTTCAAGGTCCTTGCCCCGCCTATGTGCCCATCTGCCAATCTGCCAATCTGCCAATTCTAATTGTGTGTGCTTAGTGCCTGGCCAAAGTGTTCGAGTCATTAGGCAGCGGTCCAAGAAACAAATTAGATCCTACTCACAGGCCAAATGCAAGCACTCTGAGTCATTTGCAGCATCATTGCCATTGGCCAGAGCTTAGTGCATCGTTTGCGAGTTTAATAATGGCGTGGTAATTTCATTGAAAACGGATTTTGATTTTGAATGCGAACATATGGCCGAATATTGCACCTTAATGATTCATAAAATTGCTTCCCGCACCGATAAAACGTTGCCGTATATATTATGAAACTATGTCAAAATATAAATTCAATGCGAAAATATGAAAAACATTTCGCGTGTGGCGTTCTTCAATGCGAATCTGAAATAATCGGGCCGTGTCCGTTTTGTTTAGTATATATTTCTTTTTTCTTTCTCGCAGAACATCTATCTTTCTTTTTTTTTATTTGGCACATTTGCAAAATTTCACTCGCTTAGAGCAAACACAATATCTGTGTTTTGCCACAGCGAAATGGTAAATGTTATTTCACCAGATTTTCCAATACCCAAAAGGCAAACATTACCAATAGGATTTAGATTTTCGGATTCTGGATTTTCCGGCGAACAGAGAGTGCCAAAATATGTGCTACATTCTGACCACCAAAGTGTCCCATCTACACATTTTTTAGCAATGAGTCTTCTTTTCCGTCAGCTATACAAACATTTTGGTTTTTTCCCTGCTACCAGTGTTTTTCTAAATTAATTGGGTAATTTTCTTAAAATAGCGAATGAACTCAGCGCAACAAGTCACAAACCACACACCACTTTGAATATTCGTTCATATTTTCTAAGATTTTCTCTTTGTTTTCTTCTCGATTCTGTGGATGAGGAAACAATTTGGTGATCCATTAGATGGGATCCAGTTGAGTGGTTTATTATGATATTAGATTGGATGTGTGGTCAACATGGCAAAGGCGTGGTCGCACTTCTATTATATTCCAAATAATTTAGGATCTTTAGTATCAGAGGAGACTTTATGAGCTATTTACTGAGTGAATCCCTAAAGCTAACTACGTCGTA